AGACAAGGAGCAGCAATGCAAGAAGCTTCACGACGATTTCGTTCAAGACATCAATAAGTTTGTCTTCCGCACCCACGTCTCTGCGCTCGAGGGTCTCGAGGAGGAGGGCGCTGGTGAACTCCTCTGTGGCAAGAGCGAGGATGTCAAGAACTGTATCAGTGCTCTTATGAAGCCCCTGCTACCGCCTCCCCCTCCCCGTGTCGTCGAAGTTGTCCGACAACCTACACTGCTCCCTAGCTCTCCTGTCAACAACATGTGGTCGCAACATGGTCTTCACAGCAATCTTGCTGCTATTGACTCATGGAGGGTGCTTCCCTCAAGCCCCACCGTCACATCATCGGCTGACTCCAATACAAGTCCTATCTGGGCACCCATGACCATGGATGATCTTTCACCAACTCCCGCCTTCACCCAGCCTCACTCGACGGCCGGCTTCTTCTGGAGCTCGCCTCAAGTGACAGCACCCATTCCCGCTCTCCCCCTTCCTAGTATGCTCGCCCCTGCTCAATGTGGCGTCGGCATGAGCATGACAGGAATGGGAGGCATGAGCGGTATGGGAGGCTTTGGCTGGGACCGATACCAAGAGTATGCGACCATCATGTGACAACCAGGGCCCCAGGACAGCTATCCAGTGGTGACGACCTCGAGCTATTAATACTGCACAAACCCCTTCCTCGTTTCCCGGAGAAAAGTTGAAGCTCTCAGATTTCGCAGCGGCATAGAACTATCATCCATCATGGGCACGGCATATCGGCGTTTTATTGCATCAGGAACGGTGTTTCGAACAATTTTTATAACAATATCCCCCCTCGCATTGTTTTTATTCTTTATTTTTATTCTTCATTTTTTTTTCCCTTTGTCTTCATAGCAAGCGTTCTTTTGATTTCGGAGAATCTGGTCTGATCATTCCTCTCCGGGAAACACTCTTCAACGGTCGTTCACACAATTCTCTATCGTCTCTGGACTTTTCTTTCATCTACCACAACACCACATGGCTGGATCCGGGGGCGGGTATTTGGATGCATTTACAACTGGGCAGGGATCCGATACAGGCGGCTTGTTTTCTTTTGGACTTTTTCCTTCCGTCATCTTTTGGTTCTCAAGAAAAAGACGTACACGCAGCAATGCACGACGCTCGGCTCTAGTCCGAGACAGAAACTTCTCTGCGGATTCTTCGCTGATATCCCCGGGACTTTCTTTTTCCTTCTCTCCCCCTCTGTTTTCTTTATCTGTTCGGTTTAGAGAGGCCTCTTGGAAGATACCCCCTACCCCTACAACGAGGACGACATATAACTGACACACTCACTTCGCTTCGTTCTTTGGCTTGCTTCCCGATTCACGACGATATTATTTTAATGACGGCCTCTTCTACGACTGGATGACGAATGACTACTCCCTTTCAGACATGATACGATTTACGAGCGAAATCACAAATTATCGACTTGATGTCGAAACATGACTTCTTTTCGAAAGAGTATCGAGCACTGAACCTCACACTTCATTCGGCACGATGTCCAACCTCGAAGATGGTGACTGGACTGGTTCCGGGACATTGCATCTGAACACAAGGTCGTCTCGACTACATCGCGTACGCCACCAAGGGAATATCTGGGATATACCCGTAAAGGCTTGGCACTGGCTGTCAAACGGGATCACCACCCTGCGCCGATCGACTTTTAGTCTTCGGTGTGAGGAGAACGGAAGACGGAGTGAAATCATGGGATTCTTCCAATGAGCTGGGCACTGTATCTCTGCTGGGTGGAGTCAGCTGCACAGTCTCTGTCTAATCCGATCTGCTTCAGCCAGCCATCCCCTGTATTCAACAGCCCTACCCGCAGGTGCCCCCATCGCTCTGAATGTGGATGAACACACGTTGCCGAGTTGAGGTGAGTACCATCGTGCCAGCTGAGCCTGCTAGACGGGCCTCAGCCGGTGCAGAATGCCGCTTCGAGGACAAACCTGTGGTAGCCCACATTTGGGTCGATGGAATGACTGGGACAGGGCAGGGATGGTTGAGGGCAGAATGTAGGATCATCTCCCTACAAACCTCTCGCGCCAGATGAGTCATCAAGCAGCTCGGCCTGCCCGACTCATCACAAAGCGGAGAGGTAGCTGCAAGAGAGGGGGGATAGTCACTGCTGAGCAGTGCACTCCACCTTCTGCGGACCTTCGAGTCCATCGGCTAAAGATGCTGGTTCTAAGTGACGTGGAAGGGAAACATGATACGCCCTGGCGGCGGTTCCCTTGCCCAAGGACAAGTCTGCTTTGCTACAACGATTCCCTGCTCGTTGTCTTGTCGTTGCAGTATTAGTTAATCTGAAGAAAAAAAAAACATATTCAAATATTTGACGTCTCCCCTTTGTTGTGATCTATTTTGTGACATATCACGATGATTTATTGACAGAAGGCTTCAGAAGATTGGATAGGATTAAGTATTATTTCATATTCGCGTCCCAGCTCAAATCTATAACTTCCGTCTATGTAACTATACAGGGTATTTTCCATGTTTTCCTCCGTGGTATCGAGTCATCAAATCCCAGAGAATAATGCACCTGACTCTTCATCACTCAGTCATGGATAGCGAAGGCCTCCCTCGCAGACTTGCTACTACGTGCCAGACGCTCACCATATCTGATGAAAACAAAGGGAATGACACCCATTGCCAGAGCAATGAATGCGAGGACCGAAGGCGCCCAGTGAAACCCCAAGTTATCATACATGCTGTCCGCGGCGAGGGGTAACGTGGTGGCCCCGACGGATCGCAACATGGCAGCAGCGCCGAGGGCAGAGGCAGAATGGCTTCGGAACACGTCGGTAAGATAGTTGGTCATTCCCATGAAGAGGAGCTGGAAACCGAGGCCGAAGAATATGCTGCCGAGGCTCGGAATGATGGGAGTCATTGAGTCCCAGACCGTCCAGCCGAGCCAGAAGAGAGAAACCACCATGCTGAAGATAGTTAGTTGTAGTTGATAACAGGGGGACAGTTGGGGAACTCACCAAGGAGAAGCAAAGCACGCAAGAGGAAGTCTTCGATAGATGTGGTTCTTTGTCCATTCAGCACCAGCAGCAGTCTGCCTGTCATGGTATCGGGTATAAATTGCGAAGACACCAAGAGACAGTACAACACCAACGCAGACTAATCCCATGTTAGTATAGAGACGCCAGGTATGGCGGACGAGACTTACATGGAATATATGCAAGCCCTGCCATGCCGGGAGAAAGACCATAGAATCCTAGTCGACAATTAGATTGTTTGACGGAGCTGGGGGTTAGATGTCGACATACCTTGGAAGACACGAGGATACGCCTGAAACATGAGATAAAAGACAGAGTAGGCTAAGGTCAAATACACCGAAGTGGACGCAAGGATAGGCTCAGTAAAGAGAAGCTCCATGGGTCGAAGGAAGATCTTGCGGACGTTGAAGGGCTTCAGCTCTAGGGGCTTCTCATCAGTTGGCCCAGTCTTGTTCTTCTTGTTCTCTTTCTCTCGCCTCTTGATATGAGCCTTGACCATCTTATTATGGAGCACAGGGGCATAAGTCTCTGGGATGGTAATGATAAGAGGAAGACCTGCAGTGGCCATCATGCCAGCAATCCAGAATGGCCAGCGCCAGGAGACGGGAGACGAGAAGCCAGATACAATGGGCCCGATGAGAGGACCGATTGTAGTGACGGTCATGTAAAGAGCCATGGCGTTACCTCTCGTGGAAGGATTGTCGAGGATATCAGCGTATAGACCTCCGATGACAGTGGTTGGAGCAGCAGCGTTGATGCCACCGAGAAATCTAAAAACTAGGAGGGCAGCATAGTTGGGTGCACCAGAACAAGCCAACATAAAGGCGATGTATCCCAGGTAAGTGCCAACGAGAACAGGCCGCCGACCAATATATTCACTGAGAGGTCCAAAGAGAAGAGGCCCTAGGACATAGCCCACCATATATAGAGAGTTGAGTAGTGTGAGGTGAACGGGGTTGGTAATGCTGAACTGCTCGGCGATGACATCGAGAGCTCCCGAGGGCATAGAAGAGCCAAAGTTTCCGTTGAAAGTACACGTGAAGCCGGCGATGATAATATGTAGTTTTCTCATAGGTGAGAGTCTGAGAGGATTCCAAGATTCAGTGTCAGACCAGCCAGATTCGTCTGAGGAGTCGTGTCTCTTTTCGACGTCGACATTGGGTGAGCCAACCATGGCAGAATCACTGCCGAATAGTTGAGTTTCGTTACCTCTCATGGTTGATATAAGAGTCTTATAGTGTGTGTGCACTTGAAGTTGGAAGTTGGATCATATTGAGGTTGCAGGCACATCTATCTATATAGTTTGCTCCTCCATGGCAGTTCCACAGCAGGTGGATATGAATGGATAAATTTACCTATTCAACAGCCATTTTTCTCACGTCATCTGATTAGTTTTCGTGAATACTCGACTCGAGTTTGTGTGAAAGGCGCAATGGTTTTTTTGGTGATGGTATATAAGTCAGATCCTGCTGTGATTGGTTCTCATCGCCGATTCAATATTTTCTCCAATGGAGAAGTTCCAGAGTATAACTTCCGAGACGGAGATTGTAAGCAATGATTGGGTGAAATTTCCGGAGACACCAATGAAAAGCCCCTTATTAGGTAGTCTCTAGTTTTCTCCGAGGCAAGGGCGTACTATAGAAATCCGATCGGATGGCCGACTACTCCGGACAGAGAGCTCTTCGGGCAGTGATTGGAAGTCGATGCTTCCTCTTTTTAATAGTGACAACGAAATACAGCAAGCACGATACACACTCCCTAGGTACGTAGTAGGTACTTACCTATTCTCGTCCCCCCCGTAGAACACTAAGGTACCTAAGGTGCCTGAACTTCTTCTCGAACCTTTCCAGGCTGTAACCCAAGGCACTTTGAGGCTCCACAGACTTTCACTTCGTAACAACCGAATTGGAAGTATTCTTCTCGGCGAATAGGGCCTACAATACCTTAGTACCTAGATACCTACCTACCAAGGTACCGAGATCACAATGCCCACCGGAAGGCGCGATGCTACCGCCCGTGCTCCAACTGGCAATATTCAGCAAGCTGTCACTAGACGGCGAACCAGTATGTTCATGATACCCCGTTGAGAATATCACCAACTAGATACCTTATCTTGTTTTTACATCTTGACCTGATACATAACATCTAGATGGAAGAGCGTGCATAGCTTGCCACCAACGCAAAGTCCGTTGTGATATCCTTGAAAAGGGCACACCCTGCTCTCACTGCCGGATCCAAAACAAGCCTAACTGCACAATATACGAGAAGAAAAAGACAAGATCATCTCGTGCATCTAATTCTCGTCCCAGCCCCGTTCCCCTTCAGCCTCGTTATTCTTTTCAACAGCCTCAGCCAAATCGTAGTCACCACCAGCATCAGCATCGCCATCCGCGACAGCAACCGCAATGCCTCACAGCTCCTGCGACACCCAGAGCAACGGCAGCCCTCTGGTCGGAAGTGACCATGGATCCGATTACGCGGCCAAGTTCAAGCACTGTTCATCATCAGCACGACTCTCCCTCAACGATGCAAGACTCTGGCGAGAACGAGGAAACGTACGAGACTCGCAATCTAGCTGACTTTATCGGCCAAGACTTACCAAAAGTTGGCGAGATTTCACGTTCTGAACGCCTCTATTTTATCGGCACGGAGTTCTCAAACCTCAACCATCTCGTGCGTCACAGAGCTTTACGAAAGGATCAAAAGGACGTATTGCACTTTGGGACGCGTAGACTTGCGAGAAAGGTTCCTTCAGTCCCTGAAGAAGCTCTAAAGTTACCCCCAAAAGCTTTGGCTGATGAGCTTGTCACAGCGTATTTCGCCCACGTCAATCCAGGGTTTCCAATTGTCGATGAGGACGAATTCATGACAAGCTACAATGGCTCTGATGTCCCGAAACTAGTGTCCTTACCACTGTTGAACGCCATATTCCTCGTCGGCGCCCATGTACTCTCCTCGACCCGAGAAGACTGTAGGGCCAGCACATATACCTTCTTCCGTAGAGCCAAAACGCTCTTCGATTACCGCTTCGAGCAGCACCGTGAGACGTACCTCCAGGTTGCTCTCCTATTGACATGGCAGTGTGACAACCTCGAAGATATCGTTGATAACTCATGGCACTGGATCGGAATCGGGGCCCGCACTGCCTTTGGAATGGGCATGCACCGGGACGCCCGTGCCAGTACCCTGAACACTATAGACAAACGTCAATGGGTCCGGCTCTGGTGGTGTCTATTTCAGTTTGACGTCATGGTTTCGGCTTCGTTTGGTCGACCGCAAGCAATGTGAGTACGAAAAATCTTTTGACCGTCCTTATTGTAACGTGTTCAAGAAACCTAGAAGAGTCGGACACCCCAATGCTCGACGAGAGTCATTTTCAAGGCATTCCTCATGGCAACCCAACTTTTGCCATCGAGCATACAAAGCTGTGCGTCATCTTCTCCAAGGCCATGAGACGACGTGTAGCCTTACGAGCCACAGAAGCTGATAGAGCAGCGGCAACCAAGGAAGCTGATGAGGAACTTGCTGAGTTCATAACTCAACTGCCGCAAAGCCTCCAAATCCCGCACTCCGACCCGGACACTTGGCAAGCAACTCTTCACCTCTCGTATCACAACTTTCTTATTCTTCTCCACCGGCCTCCGCCTCATCAAGATCCGAACGGGGTTTCACGTCACTCTGCCACTGATCACAGCATCTGTGGCGATGCTGTTGTAGCGATAGGCTCTATCTTTGAATCTCTCCACTCAAGGAATTTGTTATGCAATCTATGGTTACCTTCCGTCCATGTTCTTTTCACCAGTCTACTGCATGTTGCTAGTGAGCTCAACTCTCCCAATCCTCTCATTGCTGCAAAGTCGTCCCGTATGTTTGACTCTCTTATCTACACACTCCGAGATATATCACAGTATTGGATATATGCCAAGAGTCTACTGCGACTGTTTGAGGAACGGGCTATGTGGAAAAAGAGACAGAGAGGGCATGCACTAGGATCATCTGAAGATCGAACCATTCACCAAAGCCAAGAGTCTCCGACTACTCGTACGGTCGTTTCTGAGTTTTCGCTGCGCCCTGATGCTCTAGGTGTCCCTAATATCATGGGCGACGCTCCATCAACTCTTCAGCCATCTTCTGCCCCAGTACCTGGACCAGCATACGGCTTTAATTTCGACTTCGGTGTGCACCAAGGTCTTTCATATGGCGAGGGCTTTTCAAACGACCTTGACATAGTTGGGAATGGGAGCGAGGCCATGAACCTTCTCCCTGTGCCTTCGGTATTGGAGTTTCTACTGGCTGGTGTTGATAATCAGTATGACTTCTGATTGGACGGCTATCAACTAAATAATTGTGCGTTTTCGCTGCAGTGCTGTATATGTAAGTCTTCAACGCAGCAGGTAGGGGCTGGAAACTGAAATGTGGCCTATCATCCATAACTTCCAATACTACCACAACCTATATAAGACGTCTTATCAAGTTATTTAAAATCAAGGTTTTAGTCATGAAATCACATCATCTATTGACGACGCTAACAGTCCGCACATGCTGCCAACCTGTTCATCCCGAATATTGCATCCGGCGAGGGGAGGCAAGAAAACTGAGGATCCTTATCCTAAGTAAGGAAAAGAATTAGGCAAGTTTAGTATATCTTAGCTGGCCTTTAGGCGATGTTATTTTGGTGTCCTGGTTTTATGTCAGAAGATCTCTTGCTCCCTAGGGTTCGGTTAGTTGAGAATCCCATGTACCGTCCCAACTGCACACTTGATCTTGGTCTTCCAGTCTCTCACTACGAAAACACCACTCATACCCGCAGACTAAGGCCACATAGACTCCAATGAAGCTCTTCCAGAGGATCCGTGACGGTTCTAGAATGCAGATTCGGTGGACCAATGGGTCCCATATGCGCCCTAAGACCAAGCAAACAAGGGTCATCAGGGAGACTCGGCAATTCTGAGCAATCATCTTTTACCATTTTGTCTTCGGGATTTAGTCGTATAATGCCTAGCTGCAACGCTTCTCTCAAGTCAATTTCCACATGAAAACCGACTCTCAAGTATCTATCTATTACTCATCTCATATAACAGGAAATATGCGGCTGGCATGGGGTCCTGCATGCTTCTTCTCCGGTATAGTCGCGTAGAGGCGTGGGCTCCGAGCCAGCGAAGCTAGGCTTGCCACCTCCATCAGCAAGCATAAAGCACCCATATTTTGTTTAGGCTTCGAAGTAGTTCATCATTGAATAATATTTCTCATCTCAGGTGACAGCTTGTGTGCAATCGTAGCCTCGCAGCCATACTCAACACCAACACTACGTCCATCATCCTATGCCGTATACCAATACCCAACCCATACCATATACTCGAGCCAGGACAACCAAATAAACCCTTTCCCGCGCCCCACCGTCCTCTTTAATTTTGATACATTGCTTTCGTCACCGTCCCAACCTTGCCTTGCGCCAACGCCAGTAGCCCTGTCCGTTTCTCCGTTCCTTCGGAGATGCATCTCGACTCGAGATGCTGATTTGGACCCCCGTTCCTCGGACTTCTGAGCGGACACACCGTCCATCCATCCACACATCGATAATGTACACGTATATACTGCAATCATTAGAGCAACATAGACCAACACCTTCCCCCAAAACAAAACATATAGAACACACAATATTCAGCTAGAATCACCTCAACTCATTCGTCGCTCTGGATTGCTTCTCTAGCTTCATGAGCCCATCATTGAAGCATAATGTGACCACGCCCCTCTTTTCACCCCTGGCTGATGAGTGCTGTAATACCTCATCCGGTCATGTCTGTAGTAGACGGAGAATTCGTGCCTTTGTGCCTTCTGAAAAAGGGAAGATCCTTTATCCTGAACCTGCTTGTTTTCTTTCGTAACGACTTACCCTCAGCTCTGCCAATGCTTCCACCTGTCGTGCTCGCATCAGACCTTGTTTCGTCATCGATAGGTGAGCCATCCTGGCGAAGGGTTCCTGAGCTGTCTTTCAGACTTGCAGAGTCGACGTTGATCTTAGGAATTCCAATGGCATGTTCAGTCGAATCTCCGCTCACGATACTCGTACCACGTGTGCTTGGTGACATCGGCATCTTGCCCGTTGTAGCGCTTGTCGCTTGTGAAGCCCAATCTCCCGAGCAAGCCCCAGAAACACTCCCATCTGTCGTCTCGCTGGATCGTTGCTTCGCTGAATCCCTTCTCGTTTGCGTCTGAAACGGATCGCTATTGGCCAATTCTCTAACCGCATCAAATGTTGAGGCTGATCCGTTAGATCCCCTGTGGTCACCAGCTACACTGTTTGCGGCTGATGGTCCCATTGTCCTCTGACTGTCGGCCGGCGATAAGTCATCCCTTTCTGGGCGTGGCATGGGTAGTTCGCCATTCCCTACAGGGGTCGTGTCCGATCCGCGATCCAATGCCTCGAACAGAGGTGTCTTATCTCTCTTCTCCTCTTTCTCCTCCTCTTGTGGTACAGCAAAGCTCATGGTCCTTGGGGAAAATGTACCTTCCTTCAGAAGACGTCTCCTGATTGGGTCATCTAGGGGTTGCTTTTCTTTCTCTTGTTGAAGCTTGAGCTCGAAGAGACTCTTATTCATCTCAAGCTCGTTGACAGTGTACTGCATAGCGGGCATGATGTCGGCGACGCCTTGGAATAGAGGGGTGGCAAAAAGATTCATAAAGCCGAGTTGGCCTTTAGCCAGTGAAGTCATGTCTTGCTTGGGCGGTGTCATAAGTGATGAAGGGATGCTCAGCTCACTCTCCATCGAAGCTTGTCGGGAGAACTCTTCTGAGAGAATATAAGTCCACTTCAAAGCTATTTCATGGTTCCGTGCCTAGATTTGCATTTTTAGCTGGTGGCCCCATAATATCACCAACAAGGGGGAGGCATACCACGTTGCTAATATCAGCACATTTGATGAGTAACGAACAAGCAAGAGACTTGTTCTCTTCAATTTGCCGACCATTCCAACCGTCGGCGCTATTGTTAGCTTGAAGTCGTTCTTGAACATCTCCGAGCTTCTTCATATAGTCGAAATGCAAGCCCATGTCCGTAGCCAAGATAGAGCTAATCATCAAGTTACGCATCTTTGTGTCTTCGAAGGCAGAGGGCCAGTATCGTCGAAGAATCTGCGAGTAAGCGGCGCAATGGAACGATTCCAAAACAGATCGATCATTGTACAACTGTGCTAGGGGAGCATTTAGTGTCACAAGAAAACCGTTGTTCACGCCAGGGTGTCCGACGTCATGCCCAATAGCAGTGATTAGGAGCGTCAACGCTTCGAACGGAGTTATGAGAGAAGCCATAGGCGACTTCTCTGGCATCGGACGGGATTCAGTACCCGAAGGATATGGCGACAGAGCACCGATATGTACCAGGAAATTGAAGGTAGCTTGTAGTACATCCACAACATGACGGAAATTGTGGTAAGGTACAAAGCTATTGTATGCAGCGCGACAAGCAACAAGGAAGCTAATTAGTTGATCTGAAGCTGAGTCAGTATGTGGGCAACCGACACCAACCCGAAACAGTACAACGTACCTGCATGTATCCGCCATCGCTCAAGTTCTGGCATAGACAAGGCATGTCTGAACATGTCCATTGCGGCCACCAACAACTCATCATCGGTGTATGAGTGAGCGCAGAAGCGCCAACTTCCTATTGCCTCAGCAATGGCAGATTGTCGTTCCGAAGAGACGGCCACATGAGCGTTGTTGATTTGGTCGTCACTGGTGCCTAAACGACATATTCCTTTCATCAGGCCGGATACCATGGCTTCACGGAGGTACGCGAAGGGCTTCTCTTCGTTGACTCCAACCCACGACCGTTTTCGACCTTGTCTAATTTCCAGCAGGGTTGACTGTTCCTTGGCGGCATCTCTGTGAGCCCGATAGGCGCAGATTTCCAAACTTGTAATACATTTGGTGCTCATTGGACAAATTATGACGTCGACTGCCCCCAGATCTAAGCACCTCCTGATAAGTTGACGATTTGTGTCAAGCGATCCCAATGGCAAAGGCTTCTGCTCAGCTGTGCCGTCGGTCATCTGTCCGTTGGTTGTGGGGTGACCTGCCTCAGAATTGCTTATCACCGGAATCGGTACAACGAGTTTAGACATACCGCGCAAATGCGCTTCGGTGATGATTTTTTGCAGCAGTCCCAGACCGTACAGTGCTTCGTCGGGTGTGTGGATGTCGACATTTTCGTTGGAAGAACTACATGAAGGAGAAGGTGACGACGCCCTTCTCCGGGCTTCAGGTACTGGGTCACCGTTTGGCGTATCAAGGAGAACCAGGGTTGGCTTCAGGTCAAGCATTGAACCCTCTTGTAATTCGAATAATTTTGCTAAGCAGGCACCTCCAGATGCGCAAACGTGAACTGGATAATACGTTAGTGAGTGGAGAAATGACTCATGGCGACGCCATAACGAAAGAACGAACCATCTCCGAAGGCATCCAGCAGAGGTTGTACGACGTGACGAGCCTCATCCGTTGCCCAATCGGATGTGCTGTCGCCAGAAGAGCTGTGAATCAATCCATCTTGGCTGACATTGCGATTCACGTAAATAACGTGACAGGAGGCGCGGTCCATGGTGCTCATGGAGAGCTACCAGTCTCGCGACTGGGGCACCGTAGCCCTTCGGGCAGTTGAGTATTTGTACCAAGATGAAGCAATTTACCGGAGCCAAATAGCCTCACGAAATGCCGGAGACCAAATTATCTCAAAGAGCGAGCCGATCAAGCCTCAAACGTTGGATGAGAGCAAAGTAGGCTGGAAATTTGAGGTCGTGATTGAAAACACAATTGTCGCGAAGCAGCCCAAAAGAATTGGCTCAATAGCCACACGACATACGGGTTTGTGGCTAGCAAGGGGCCAGTGATGCTGATACGTCTCGAGAAGTTCGTATGCGATATTGTCGAGTTGAGTTGATTCAATGAACCTAGTTCGGTAGTACAGACGAATGGTGTTTTCTGCTGGGAAGGGTCGGACAGGCTGTCAGACTGGCGTCGCGGCGGGCGGGAGCAGTCGGTTGGCGACAGGGTTCGTACAATTAGAAAACTCAGTCGAGGCTGAGGGACGAGGGGCGGATATCAGCTGGTAAGCAAGAGGAGGATGTCGCGAAAGACGTGGTAAAATGCGGCGATGCGAAAATGAAGACAAGAGGGATTTGAAAAACGATGGCGCAGGAGGGAGAAGCGCGATGTATTGTAGATGGAGGTCACAAGAGGACTCGGAATCTGGACTCGGATTGGGCCAAGATGGAAAGAGCCACCAAGAAATAGGAAGGGCCAGGGGATGAAAAGAAGAAGGAAAAGAGGCAAGGAAGGACGTCGGATTGAGGGTTGGATTCACAGGTAGTGAGAAGGAAAGTACGATTGACGAACTGGACTGGACTGAAGACAGTACAGTACAACCAACACTACGGGCAGGGCCAGAACGGAGCACGCGTGCGCTGGAACAGTGGGTGGTGGTATCAGGGCAATGAGTGAGGGAATCAGCCCAGGCTTTAGCTTACCAGTCTTGGTTCAAGGTCCAAGCTGCCTACCTAGTACCTAGTACTGTATGTCCAGCAGTAGGTACGAGCGAGACCTGCTTAGCGGCACGCAGAAGGTGTCTGACCCTGGTCGGAGAATGGAAGGACTAGGGAAGGATAAGGGAAGACCCAAAGACAGGGCAAGGGCACCGACAGTCGCGGTAACCGGGTCCGGGGCAGGAAGGAGAAGATCTGCGAGCGTGGCTGCAAGCGGAGGAGGAGCGATTGCAGTGTACAGTAGCGCAAGTGTGAGTACAGCACAGCAACGCACAAGACGCAGACAGTCCGGATGATAGTGCAATGTGACAACCAGAAAGAAATTAGAAAGGATGAGGCAAGAGATATATTCACTGCCAACGGAAGTCCTGGGATTGGGGTGAGGAAAGACCAGATGAAAAGCAGAGAAAGAGTAAATGTCTGGACTGAAGCCTGGACTTGACTAGTTCGAATTGAATCAAAATGTGACGCAACACAGTTCTAGCCTCTCGAGCCCATCGGCCGGTACCATCTGGCCTCACAGGTGGAGCGTGAGAAACAAAGACAGGGCAAGGCGAAGCCAAGAACCAAAAGACAATCTTAACAAGCAGAAACAGAGGCGGGAACCAAGCCTGGCGCCGGCAGTCGAATTACTGGAATAGATTGATAACCGCCTTAGTGGAACGATTTGCCGAGAAGAAGAAGTGCGAAAGACGTGGAGAAGAAGGGGCTCAAGCGGCGAGTCAGATACGAACAGATCGAGGGCCAAGTTCAAGTGTCGAATTGGTCCAGGTGAGGCGGACTCAGTCCAGAGGCATCAGCGTAAAGGTCACTCTGTTCTGAGAGAAGCTGGAAGGGAAGGGAAGGGAATGTGAGTGTGAGGGGAGGTCTCAGCCAGGGGGCAAGGAGTTAAACCGATCTTGTTCCATACCTAATAATCACTATTTAGAACCATGGAGGTGGCTATGAATCGTTTTAGGGGGGCTACAGCGCTGAGGTAGCGCTGCTCAAGAAATCCCATTTTTTATTTATTTTATTTTTGGTCAGGTTTCCTAAAGACACCTGAATAGACGGTGAGGAAAAAGAAAGGAAAACCATATACAAACAAAGGAGGGTGGAAATGAGTGCTCTGCTTGAAACATGAATAAGGGCCGAGATGTTCATGCCTAACTGAGTAGGTATGTAAAACGTACAAAATAGAACTCCTAATAGAGATTGAGTAGGAGTCCTGTGCAGTTTATTAGCTTAATGTCGCAGATCTCGCAGTCTATAATAGGTTTTAGTAGAGTTATGGTAGGAAATATGCAACGCCGTTTGGCCTCAGTTTAGAAACACCAGTTACCAAATCAAATGCTCTATTCGATAACAGGATGCATTATGGTCAAGTCTAAAGCACTGCTCCTGATTAACGCAAGCAATCTAGTGTACAATAACAAAGAGCACCTACTCTTGCCTAAGGTAGACACTTGCAAAGGTAGAGAGGCATCAGAGTTTGCGGAAGTGCCGTCTGGGCTGGCGGAGAGGGCGCAGACTTAGGTTCCGTGTTGTGTGGATTCTGAGGCCTTGTTCTTTTCTAGTGATTTACAGTGGCGAGCGCCTGGTCAGCAGAGGCAACACAACACCACAGCCTGGTCGAGTGTACGTACGTACCTAGGTACTATAGGTAGGGAAGGTCAGACATAACGTTCATTATAGGCCATCGTAGGGCTACGTGCTCTGCTGTGCCGCCTGTATCAAGGTCCGAAATGGTCCATCGTGAGTGAGGTTGGACGATGTTCTTGGATGTGGTCGAGGATCGTCGCTACCTTACCTCATGGGCTTGCAGGCATGGGAGCCGGAGGTGGCTTGCAACGCGACGCGAGGCACCAAGGCCAGCTGGATCAGAGCCTAGAGAGGCTAAGAATTGAGTGCAGAACCCACCTTGGGCCCCACATCCTTAGTCAGGACCAGGGGGCCCCTTGTCTTCATGACAACCAATTACGTCGTGTGTGCAGCGTCAGCCAACAGGGTTGACAACGAAGGGTCCAAGCGGCTTGCTTTGAATTCTTCTGGCCGTCTTCGAGAATCTAGAATGGGGTTATCCGCTCCATATTTACTGAACAGGGGTGTGCGGTGGACTGCAACGCAAACCTACCTAGGGGAACCACATAGGTAGGAATCATTCTCGAAGGAAGTACAGTTTGGGCACCACAGTGTATTCGACATAGCACATGCATGCCTTGTTAACCCCAACACTCACCACCAGTGTACACTTCGTAATTGATCAACCAGGTAACTAAGCACAGGTATTATTGTGAAAAGGCAAGGCAGCTCCTTCCTCAGCCAGGTGATGCGCTGTCATTTAGTTTTTCGTCATGCTGAGTCTCCCGTATCATATCCAATAAAAGCTCTTATTTGGTTTACCAAACTGGAGAGGAGAAGACTCACAAGATTCCCGCACGGTCAGGTTCATAGGTCATGGCCATGCTCAGGTAGTGGAGGTAAACTCTCCACTACGATCTGAGCATATGTACTGTACCTGCCTTACTAATAGTGCCTACATACGGATCCATGCCTACATACAAGAACAACTTACCTTATGCATTGTCCAGGTGCAACTCAAGAACTCAAGAGGGTACCTAGGTAAGGGAGAGGGTGAGGTACTACTTACCAGTCAGGTAGGCGCCATAGGTAAGGTACCTATCTTTACTTTCAGTACATTAGTAGGTATGCACCGGGTATGATTCCGTGCAGGCAAAGTGCAGGTGCCGCTGTTCAGCCAGAACCCACCAACCCAACTCTACCTACCTAGGTAGGTACTACACAGTAACATAGGCCATGCCTTACCTGGGCCGCTGGGCTACCATGCATCAATTCAGTGACTGGCTGTCAATATCGTTGTGGTTCTGGATCTATCTGCGTGCTCCGTACTCCGTACAATACGTATAATTGATTAATGATTTCTACTACCTGAGACTGCCTACTAAGGTAGAAGGTACTGGGATTATCTATAGGTACCTTAGGTAAGGTACCTACCTACCTTAGTACTTACCTAGGTACCTAAGGTGAGTAGGCACCTACGAAGCAACGCTCCCAACAACTCAATTCAAGCCGGCTTTTTGATTGACTTGGCTTGCGGGGGGGCCGGCTTGGATTGGCTACAAGTCAGGGGGCTAGGCTTGAATTGAATTGAACGACTTGAATTATTGGGAGCGTTGCTACGAAGTACATTCACAGCATCCACCAGTCAACTCCACATTCAAGTCGACTAGGTACTAGGTAGGGAGTCAGGGAGTCTGGCTATCCCTATGGTTTGATACAAACGAACGAACCAATCCAATATGGCGTGATTTGACGCAGCAGATCTGAGATCCAGATCTCGTCGCCAGACAGAGCCTCTTATCTTTCCGAGACCCTATCGAACTCTCATCAGTAACGCCAACCGCCTCCGCCTTCATTCTTCTCAACTCTTCTTGTCGTGCTCATTCATTCCCTTCTCCATTGCCCCATTCCATCACCTGTCGCTTTCGCCATAGGCCCGCTGCCCCGCACCACACTAGAACGGCTCGAGACTCTCCCCGCCTCTAACAAGTGAAGCTACTGAGAGACGAGGTACGCAACAGCTACGCTTTAGGTATAGGATGGCTGTCGACAGTTACCCATGCTGCCAGGCCATCGAGGTGCCAAACACATAATGGAGCCCCATCTTCGGTTCGTTCCTGGACTCAGGACACACAACTCCCAACAACGTCTACCGATGCGACTTCCAAAATTCCCCGTTTCGCTCCAATGAATGATGTGAAACAATAGATTGATACCGCGAGAATTCATTTTCATCGACGCACACATACTTGAGCAGATGGTTTCCTTAGGCGACTTGAAAGAAGCCAAGACCCTTCAGGACAACCGCACAGGAAATGGCTACCTATTCATCGCTCCAGCTAGTCGCCAGATAACTGTAACCTGCAGCCCATCCAGGGAATGATGGGGTACTCGGCTCCTATCTCTTTGTACGCTACGCATGTTGTCTATCAAGCCTTTCCATACCGGTCATGGACCACAAGAGCAGCCTCATGGACTCCCCATGATCTGGTTACTGGCTAGCTGGCTAAGGTACCGACCGACCTAGCCTTGGATCTGTCAAAGCCCTTTCACACATGACGCATTTCAAAAGCTCGATCTGCTAGTATTACAGGGACTCCACTTCGAGCCTCAATATGAGCAAGACTCGCTTCTCTATCTCCATCCCCACCCCAGAATCCCCGAACCGAGGCAAGAACCCATGACTGCTAGCCCCACAGAGTCACCGAGACGGCGGCGAGAGGTGCCCTGGCTTTTATGGGATCGTGCTCCTTCTGCAGTTCTGGCTGGTCCTTAAAGACGTCCTGGACCCATTTTCGGTTCGACTTTTTTACTATCCAACCCAAGAATGGATGGCTTGGGCCCAGAGTCTCCGGAAACCTTTGGTATAGGGTATTTGGCGTACTGCCTAGGCACCTACCTAGCTCACAATATCCAACATCAACAGTCTTGCTTGTCTTACTTGTTTGTTTTAAGCAAAGGATATGGGTCACGTAGTGGATATGTTGGGTCTTGCCATTCTGCGACACCAGACACTCAAAACTTCATTTTCTCGATGTTGGTGGACTCACTATCGCCAGTCGTACATATGTATCGGTACCTATAACAGCATGTCTTACCTACTAGGTACCTACCTTACCTAGTCTTGATGTATGATGAGCTCTTTCCAAACATCGTCTGACTGCTGGTGGTGCCTCAACACGTCAAAATACAGACTATAGAGGCTCAACTCTTTAACGTGGTGGCTGGCTGAAGCCTGTGGAGAACTGAATAGTCTGGCAAACACGAGATGGATTTCGAGATGTCGATCGCGTCAACCATCAAGCCATTCTTCAGTTGTCAAACCCCCAGGAGGCATAGCGAGATCATGTCAAACGCCCTCAATCTAGCGGCCGCTGTGCTGGCTGTCAAATCCAGCTCACCCGAGTGGAGCGCGGAGTGAGGAAGGGCATCGCCCGGCTCCCATTTGGCTGATTGATTATTATCGAAGACCTGCCCCGAACTTGACGAGTAGTAAGTAGTCTAGGTCTAGGGTTTGACCCATACGCCGCACCACTGCTGCGAACTAACTGTATCTACCTCATCAGTTGCGTAAGTGACTGCTCATCTGGTATCTCGAATGCGTACTCCTCAGATACCTGTCCGTACCTAGTCTTCAACTGCGATGCTTTCCAACCGAACTTGATCTCCTGAAACGCGGTGTTTAACCTCTCGCAATTTGTTTCTCGTCCTCAGTCCCAAATACAGTACAACAAGCGTGCCGAGGTGGATGCTCAGAACCAGGGTCCACGAGCTGGGGAAACCTTGATGCCATGCCGCCACCAGTGTCGAGATAACTATGTAATACAACGATCCAGCCTCGTATGGCAAGCTACACAATGCGTATTGGAGGTCGCGTTATGCTCTTGCAACCGACAGATAATTTGGTGAGTTTATCCGTACCGTGCTTGGAGAATGTCATACTTTGCATCTCTTGTGAGTCCTGGCTCTAGGGAACAGGGGCTTTTGGAACTCAGAAACATCTGGCGACACTGAGATATTCAAGGGTATATAAGACCATGGAATGAATTTGAAACCGAGATAAGCAGATCCTTCGTCAGTGGCTTGCGCCCTTCATCCGAAGAGAACCCTGAAGCTGGCGAGGGCAGTGAAGCAAATTACCTTGTGTATCACCAGCCACATGAGAGTAGGAATGTCTATCATTTATGACTGGGGTACTGCTTGAATTACACTACACACCCATAGACAGGACATCCTCCGTTTTTGACTTCGTCAAGTCCATTCAGCTGAACATGCTCGATGCAAAATAAAACCAAACGCCGTTTTCTACCCTTCAACCCTATGCGAGATGTGCGGCGATATGTACCATCTATTTCTCTCGCCGCCTCTTTCTATCTACTCCCCTCCCTCCATCAACGTCAACATGCCCTTCACAAGTTGGGTTGTCCCGATCATCATCTCATGCAGTTTTAACCGTTTTCTCGTATCTCGTCTACCATATGTCATCATGACTTTGGGCCGCTTGTTGCCCGAATTTGGACAGCCGTCCTACTCGGCCTTGATTCCCTTCTCATTTTCAAGATGGATCTCGGTCACCTCGTTCGAATCCCTGTCGCTCCCTGCCGCGGTTTGCACATCGATCACATCCTTACGGTTCCATGTGGACTTCTGGGTGTCTGTAAGAATCGACGTTCGAGGAGCGACAGGCTCGGATTCGCCCTCAGCGGGGCCCTGTCCTGTCATGATTGTGTCGTGATCATCAAATTGGCTGAGTCCACGCTCATCAGCTGAAGAGTCTAGCTGGACATCATCAGAACCAATGTCGGCACCTGTAGAGTCTTCGGCACCGCTATCGCCCAGGCCCTCGAAGTTCCAACCCTGGACGAGGTTGAGTGACTTGTTGTCCAGGCGCTGGTAGCTTCCATTGACATCTACACCCTCGTCCTCGACGGTACTGTGGATGCTCCCCATCCGGTTAGCTCCATCGTAGGGTGGGAGATCTTCGTCTTCGTCGTCCGGTACGGCTAAAGAGGTGACGGTGATTCTATCCGAACCACGACCGCCGAGATGGCGAGTTGCTGCGGCTCCGATCCCAGCGCTCGACAACCCATTCAGGGAGGAACCCTCGCCGAGACGCTGACCTTCCCCCACCTCGCCTTCTTCTTCTTCAGAGTTTTCTTCGCTGTTCTTGTATTTCTCAGAGATGACTCCGAACCGCGATCCGCCTAAAGGGGTACTCGAGCGGCGACGGTAAAACAATAGGTATGCAGCTGATGTAATGCATGTCGAAGGGTCAGACACAGGGCTTGCAGACGAATCTGTAGGGCTTGTCAGCGTCTTGGATCCATGGTTAGGGGCTCAGAGAGATGTAGCAGCTCACCATTGTAGTTATACCATCGCCCATCGACAAAGTTCTTGGCATAGGCGGTGTAATGACCTCCACCGAGACCTCCGTAATGATCATCAACAGCAATCAAATCATAGATCTCATCCTTGCCATCCTCTTTTTGAATGACTCTGGAAGTAAGGTCGAGACCCTCGATAGGGAAGTCAACCATGACGTCCAACTTGTCGCGGCGCCATCCAGAGCTGCTAAAGCGCTTCAGATGCGCGACAAGAATATCTGGCGATTTCCACAGGTCGAACTTCTTGCTGGCTCGCCGATGCTCTTTGCACCGGGGACAATACCACATATCTTGCTCGGAGAGGACTTCGGCTCTCTCAAACTCATCCAGACATTCTTCGAGACTGATGCCTCGTGTACGACGATGGTGTCTTCTTCTCTGAGCAACCTTGAGGGCAGGGTCCGTGAGCGTTTCAAGATCAATAAATGTTGGAGCTCCTTGTTCATCAATGGGGATATTTGCAGCGCCACCAAACACTTTATCCCAAGCTTCCTCGTGCCAGTCTACCACAATGCCTTCTCCCAGACGAATAAGAGGTCCACCATCAGCAACAGCAGGAGGTTGAGGCTGGGGCTTGACAGAAGCTGACTTGTGTTTCTTGTTCTGCATACGTTCTCGGCGCTTGTTGGCTTTCTTGTTGAATTTCTGGCCCTTGAGCTTGCGTCCTTTTACCTTTGAGGGACGTCCATTGAACTTCTGTTTTGTATAAGCGCTGGGACTGTTGGACAGACTAACAGAGAGACCTACTCGTGGAGCTTCTGGAACATCTTCCTCACTGGACTCTTCCACCATTCTAGTTTGTGTTGTCTCCGCCTTGATACTCTCGTCATTGCTGCTTACATCTTCATTAGAAGGCGTGCTGCTTTCGTCGTCACGACTGGCAGTATCATCATCGTCGGGTGACAGTTGAGGGATGCGATCCGACAACTTAGGGAGTAATTGATGGTGATCAACGTGAGACCAGCCCGTTGGCACATCGCCAGAATAGGCCTTGTCTGTGAAGTAGCAAAGGTCGAAAAGGTTTTGCAGTTCAGGTTCAAGGAAGCTACCTGGGTCGATAAACCTGGGTCTGTTCTTGTTGAATCGCTTCAGAATCTGTGGCTGATGGGGGAGAGCCTCGCTCGTGTCCTTCATATGCACATCCACAATGTCATCCTCACCTTCAACCGAATTGGCAACAACCTTACTATCGCCAGACGAGTCAGCATCCGAAGCAACCACCTCTCCGTCAGCGATATCAGAGTTCTCATCCGGGCCGTTCCTGAGCTTAGACCAAGTTGAGAAGTTCGAAACCTTCTCCAGGATCTTGCGCCGAATGAGGTCAATGTCGGAAGCTTCTTCCTTGGTGAAGCAGATGAAGCTTGGGGGAGCCACACCATCCCGAGCACGACCATAGTTTGATGGGATGCGGTGAAATACGGGCACCACTATCCTTTCATACCGTGGGTCATCCCAGGGAGCTTCGAGAGGAGTGTCGATATCCAGCATGGAGCGTGGCTTGTTCGCTTTATGTGGCCAGTTGGTTGGGACAGCATCCAACTCGTGGAAGGTTGCAAGATCATTTTTCGCGATTTCTTCGCTAACATCTAGGTCGTTGTCGTAAATCTTGAAAAAGCGATCCTTGTACTCTTCTCCTCCTATTAATCGCTCGACGGGTACACCTGTCCGGGCGGAAAGGAACTGTTTGAGCTGTTCAATAGCGCCGTGCTTGGGCAGTTCGACCTCAAACATCACCGGCACATCGTTGAGGGGCAAAAATTTGATTTTAGCCGTCCAAACGTCCTCAACAGGAATAGGAAGGGTCAGATTGTTGAAAGGATCGAAGGTGATACTGATCTTGCCACACTCAGGACATTTGAGTGTTGATTTATACAAGCCTGTGAAGAGGTCGGCAATGACTGAGTCGTCCCGGAGGCGCGTTATGTCCCAGACCTTGTCTGCCATTTCCTTGATAGCTTCCGGATTGTTGATCATGTCGTCGGTGGAGTCAGGCTTCTCGATATAAGGTTTCTTCTTCACTCGGCTCAGGTCTTCCTGAAGAGCATCCAAGAGAAACCCAAGGAATTCTTGCGAGTCCTGCTGCCCATATCCAGAGAAAGTCGACCGGCAACGGCCGATCGTATTCTTGAAGTCTCGAGGAGTCACGGAGCCCCTTCCCTCCGTATATATCTCCTTCAGAAGGTTTCCATAGGTTATTGCAACTTTCCCGTTGTATCCCAGGAGGTTAGTCTTATTGACCTCATCAAGATATTCGTTGGTCAAGAAGTACTTGGTCAACTCCTCAACGCTTCGTACGCACTGAAGTGCAGAGTTCATATAACATGTATTTCCTAGGTTCTGTAAACCAACAACGCCGATGCTCCGACCCGACTTCTTTCCCGTTCGGCCACGCGTTAATGGGCCACCGGGAGCAGGACTGCTTCGACCGCTCGCATCAGAAGAGGCCAGACCACTTCTGGTGGGGACGACCACTCCATTCGGAGGAGTTTTCCCAGTGTAGTTACTAACCCAGAAGGAGTCGATGGCCTCATCGATAACCAGAGTTTGATCTGTCACGAGATCGAAGATGGTCAAGTTTGAACTGCCGTTAAAATTGGGGTCAGTGGTCCTGTCTTCCAGCTTACATTTGACCCTTTGGTCACGGACTTGAGAAAAGGAAACATTGTCAAGAAGAAGTTTCGACCATGTGTCTGTAGAGCTAGCCCTGTTTTCTGTTCGACCTGGGGAGTCTGGAGGCGTGAGGGCTCGTGAGGGCTCTGAGGGGCCAGAGACCTGCTGGACTTGAGGTACCATAAATAAGCGAATTTTGCGGTCTAGCGGTACGCCAGTGGCTATCTTAATCTCCTTGACAAATGTCTGTGCATGGTATTTGCGACTTCGGACGAACTTGTAAGGAGGAGGGTTTTTGGCCTTGAGGGATTGCTCAATGGGAAGTGGGCTAATTTCAGACCATAGACGGTGAATAGTAAAAACTGGAGGGTGGAACTCGAACTGAATGACAGGCTCTTCGCCGGGCTCAGCAGTGTTGATAGCAGCACGAGCAATGGCTTCTTGACCGTTCTTGATACCATACCAGTCGACAACCATCTTCCAAGCATCCTCTGGAAAGAGTGTGAATTCATTCTCGTTAGTTCCTTGCTTCAGACGAATGTATTCGTTGCCGGTAGGTTCTGCAACGACTTCCTCGATAATATCGGAGTTGTCAACGGGGCCGAGAAGGTCCGATATGGAATCCCCTTCCTTGCTGTCCTTGGGGCCGCCGCGTAATGAGAGTGCTTTTTGGACCCAGGTGTTGGATACGAGATAGGCCTTGTCCCCTTCCTTCACTTGCGCCTCTTGATAGGCTTTTAAGAGAGTCTCTATGATCTTGATCTGTTCTTGCAGCGAAGGAATTGCTAGGAGACCAGAATTAGCGACGGATTGCGGTGCTTGCAAATTGGAAACGTGGTGAGCCTTACGCTGCGCAGGGAAAGCCTCAGGGGGCGAGCTTGCCGTGGGCTCAGGCGCTTCGACGCTCATATCACGCGGCAGCGATTCAGGGACCAGCTGTGAGACTCCCTCAGTAGACTCATTGGCGTGTGATGTACCCATGTCGACATCGCGGGTCCTATCCGCATCGTTTTCGGGATCCATACTGGAAGCGCGTCGTTTCAAAGGCGATGAGGAGCGTTGGGGCAGGTCGGCATCGCCATTCATGATAGCTCGGTGGGAGAGACGTAAGGGAGACTGGCTTCTGGCCAAAGCCAAAATCGGGGCCGGGCCAGTCTCGTCGCCGCCACGATCGCTCTCAATGGAAAGATCGGCGTAGGCAGAGGCACAGGGGCTCGAGGCAGCGGACGAAGCGTAATCGGCCGAGACGAAAGAACTTGTCTGATGCTGGAGGCGAGGGGGGAGGCTCGAAGCGGGTTGTGAGTCGGCCCTCAGGAACGAGTTGGAGTTGGAGGCCACGGAGGCGGAGAAGGAGAGAGCGGGATCGTCGTCGACTTCGCAAGAGGGTAGGACTGAGTCAGGAGAGGGCGACGATGAATCAACTGAGTCTAGGGGTAGATCGCTTCGCAAGAGCTTTCTCTTCTTTGAGGACGACGTCTTGAAGGCGAGCTGCCCGGGCAGCTCGGGGGGTCTAGGTATGAGTAGGAGGGGCGAAGGCGAAGGCGGAGACGGAGACGGAGGACAAAGTCTATGTTCCTATCCTTGAAGTCAAACGAGTTTTGAGGGCAAATAAGTAGTCGACGTAGACTGGAAGTAGAAGTAGAAATCTGGTGGTGGCCAAGGCACGAGTAAGGACAACAGTCTTGCTGCATTTACTCCGAATCAGGACAGGTCCAAACCAATAGAGCCTGGCCGTGTAAGAGTTTGGATAGGTTCTTTTTTTTTTTCTTTTACAGACGAAGGCGGGGGGGGTTTGAACAGGTTCTATAATTTTTTTAATGATGGCATTGGGGCTCTGACCGCTGAGAACGACCACCTGCTGTGTGGGGCGGCCATAGGTCGACTCGAGTTTTACGATTAGTCCTAGAGGTCCAGGTACCGAGTAGTAGGTAGGCCCTCGGGGGGCAAGAAAACAACGGACCTTGACATGGGATGTCAAAATAAACTCAGTAAAAGTTATTCTAAACTTAGGCTAAAGTTACCTAAATCTTTTTGTCATTGGGGATTAAGGTACTGAGTTTTCTTTCCTCCCGTAGGTAGGTACCTAGTAGGCACTAAGCTGAGTACCTACCCTGTCACTGGAAAGGTCAAGTACATTTGGGCAGCGATTATGACGACGAATCAAGAAGAGATCGGAGCTTGTATAGGTCATTAAGGTTATTATGACCTGGGTAAACCATTTACATATAATACACATTTACCTAGATAGGTTCCTATATGATATAGGTACGTTAAACTACAAAGCCTGAACTTGGCCGTAGTGGATCTAGGTAAATCGCAAAATAACTCCTGGGTAGAATCCTCCATCCGGAGTAGGTACCTAGGTTTGCTTGCATTTATTTCAAACTTCCATTCTCTCCCCCACACTCACATCAGGAGCCCGTCCGCTAATCACCGGGGGTTGACCGCTACCTTATTAGGTTTGGGGCCTGTGCTAACAATGAATGTCCTTGAAATGAATTACTTCGATGTTGAAATATCTTTGGTTGTTTCACCCAAGGTATTTTACCTATTTATAAGCTGTCTTCTGCCCCTTGCTCAAGTATAATGCTTTGGTTTACAACTGTTACTGTATAAGACAATTCTGAAGTACAAAAAGACTTCTGGTTCTTGTCTCTGTTAGTCACAAACCTTAGCTTCGTGCATGACCTGTATCAGCTTGCATAGCTGACTCGGAGCATAAAACATAATGAAACACAGACAGACACTCCATGATCACCAAGTCACATCTCATTTTGTGTCTGGACAAAAGGCTACCCCAGAGCGATCGACCGCTGTTAGCTATAGTCATGTACAAAACCGACTCGCTAGAACGAGTTTCTAAATACCAGTACAAGCCCCTGATTCTTGCTACCCAGTTTCTTCCCACCTCTACCATTTAATGTCAATGTATCCCGTCTCTGTCTAGATGTAACCCCCCACCTCCAACTTGTCTTTTCAAGAACATAAAGCCGTTAACCTAGAGAATTTCCAGACCCAACATAACCTCTACAACTTTGCATCCGTATCCTCATACTCGTTAATGTCTTTGACGGGTCTGGCCCCTGAACTTGCGGCAAGGCCGGCCTTGTAAAGCCTGACATCAGTGATTTCCTCGGCCGTCTTTACAGCATCTCCAGGAGAGGGCTCCTCGTCAGCCTTCTTCTGAGCCTCTTCCTGTCGCTTATCAACCCCTTCAGCCTTGCCTTGAGCCTGAAGATGAATTGATAACCGTGCCCTGTGATTGGAGGCAGGGTTGAGGTGCTGGTTGAAGAACTCAATGACCTCGGGTTTGGTCAGAAGCTTAATCTGTGCGGCATCGCGCTGGGCTATGTAGAAGGTCAGTGTATGTTCACCACATAAAGCATGCTCTCTGCTAGCTTACCAAGCTCGAAGTCGTAGTATTCGTTCGTGATCTGATTCCAATGACGAGTGGACTCCTGGTCCAGGTTCCTGAGCTTCTCTAGACGCCGGACGATCAGACTTCGCTTGTGGCCCTCGAATTCTGTCTCGCTCATCTTCTCCAGAGTGTCTGCATATCTCATTAGGAAGGCTTCAATACGCGAGTCAAGGAACTCTGGTGTCATTTCACTCTGGATGAGGAAGCGGAAGCCATAAGTCGTCGAGAAAGCTCGAGGTCCACTGAAGACGATGTAGCCGAGTTGCTCCTTAGTCCGGAGCTGATCAAAGGCTGGCTCATGAAGCATCTGGTCTAAAAGGAGAGTCTTGGTCCGAATGTCGCGATCTTCTCTGCTACCGACATAAAACCAAGTCTCGACGCAGTGGTTAACGTTGGCAGGGTCCTTGAGAGTCTTTCTGAAAACGTAGTTGGAACCTTTTGTCAGAATGAGTGACCGCAGGATAGGCCATTGGGCCTTGGGCAAAACCCGTGGTTTCAGGATGGACTCGACCATATCAGTTGCTTTGAGAGCATCCTCCTTGTACATGTTACCATGTACGTACACTTCGATGAAGACCTGGCCAAGCATCTGCTTTTGGAACAGCCTGACACCTTCCAATGTGACACTTGGAAGCTCTGCTGCGAGCTCCTCCACTATAAAGTCCCGTTCGGGGGCATTGAGCCAATTAGTGTAATCGCCAACCTGGTGATAAGATGATTGCAGCTGCCAGTTGCTGTATCCTCGGATCAAGCGCTCCCTAACAATCGCAAAACGATCTTCCTTGATATCCAGGTCTCGCATTGTGGTGACGACTTGTTCCAAGAGCACGGGAAGCTTATCGTTATAGCCGCTAACGTCCAAGAACAGACCGCGCGAATCGAGACTGACGTTGTACTGCAAGCCAGCCAGCTCCGCGTCATACGAGTACTCCTCGAGTGCATCACGGACGAGGTCTGAGTACAGTCGAGCCTTGACGTTGTTTTCTGCCGAAGCGTATATGAGTGGTGTCTTCAAGCTGACAATAACATTGGCGCGAGGAACCCAGAAGGTATCATCCTTCTTCCACCATGTCCTAGCAATGCTATCATTGCGAAGAACCCGAGGGTTCAGTGCCGGCTCGGCCACATCCTTCTTCTCGACCTCAAGCTTGTTGGGGATAAACTGATTTTTGTGAGGCAGGTGAAGGGCAGGCAGTCGATCTTTAGGAGAGACTGCAAAGGCTTTCTTGCACTGCTCCATGAGATCTTCGGGGATCTTCTCGTGTCGATATTCAGTTCCGTACCACTTTTCCTTTTGGTCCCAATTGCCAGGGTAATTGCGTGATACAATGACCATGCGGAAGTTATCTGGGCGAATCGTGGCTAGGGCTTTTTCGATCTCATCAGGAGCAAATTCTCGGAGACGGCTGTGTCCACTAAGTAACCATTCCCGAGGAAGAGGCTTTTGCATGACCGAGCTGATTCGGCTGGTGAAGCGGCTGGCGGGCGTCTTCTGCTTGAACTTGAAATCGACATCAGCCATTCCCTTCTGCTCTTGAAATATCCACTCCTGGGGTGGGCTCTCACGCAGGAGAGTAATGTACTGGAAAAATATCTTGACAATTTCAGGGTAGTTCTTAAGACCTTCTTCCGTCAAGCGAACCTGTACATCGAAGATACCAGGAGTACCAGGGCAAACAGGGTAGGCGCCGGCACTAAGTCCATTTGCCCAACCCTTAGACTTGATATATGACATGATACTTCCAGGGCCTTCATGCCCGATGAGATGACTGATATATCGGCTAGGTTGAGTAGCAAACATAAACTCCTCATCGATGAAGGGAAAATACAGGTTAAGCTCTCTCGAGTCCATGACGGGCTTCGCGAAACACTGCATGCCGAGATCGGTTTCCCTGAGAGGAAGTTCGCCTGGCCACCTGTTTGGTGGAAGCTTTTTGTTAACAACAGGAGAAAACAACTCGGCAACCCATTTCTGAAGCACGTCAAGCGGTTCTCTACCTAGAACAACTAGCTTCATGCGGTTTGCTGAGTAGTGTCTGGCGTGGAACTCGATAAATTTGTCCCTCACGTTAATTCCACGTGCCTCCGGAAGTGTCTTGAGAACCTCAAAATTGCCGGTTGAGAAATGACAGAACGGGTGGTTAGGGTTGGATAGAGACTTCTCCAGCTGATGAAGCCTCCATGTGTCATTCTGAAGATTCTTTTTATTCTCTGAATCAACAGCTTTCAGCTCTCGGTCCAGGGTCTCGGGTAGAAATAGCGGTTCAATGAAGAACTGAGCGAATCGATCCAGGGCCTCGCGCAGAGGAGAAGGGTTGGTATCTGAAGGATCCTGGTCATTGTCTGGCTTGGCAGAAATATCAAAAAAATAGTTTGTCGATGTTGGTCCAGTGTAAGCATTTGAGCTTCCTGAATTGGCGGAGAGGTATTGGCCGTATTCGTTCTCAATTGGAAATTTCTTGGTGCCCATGAAAAGAAGCTGTTGACAAGCAGAAATGTTAGTCCACTGTCTGTTTGTATGACATCACAAATGTCGAATTGGGGCACTTACATGTTCAACCGCATGGGCCATCCCGGGGATATCAGACTCGTCGCTGAAGTTTCCCACATTGACATCCAGAGCAGCGCTGGCCTTATCGGTCTCGGGGTCATGCACGAGGAGAGCCTCGAGCTCATTGCCAAGACGAATGACTCGATAGTCGCGATCGTCGAGGGAAGGCTTCTCGAGAGAGTCGGTAACAAGCGTCACCGGTATGGGAGCACCACCCATCGCTGCGGAAGCATCTTCTTCATGCTGAGAGTGAGGCATTGTGTATGTTGCAAATGCAGATGCAAATGCAGGCGCAAAACCAAATTTCTACACCGATACTGTCACCGACACCGACACCGACTGTGACACTGACACACACGGCACAAGTTGTACCCGGAAACCGGAGGAAGAAAACGGCCGTGAACTGTGGTAGGGCAGGTCGCCGATCGCAAGGGTTCGTACGAGTTGCGTGCTCAGGTACGAGAGTCGATTGGACAAAGTCGGCGCGTACAGGACGATAGACGCAAGACAATGGAACGAACGTAATCCAATTGACGTCGAGAACCGAGAAAATAATGCAGTGCGGTAAGTATGACAATGGCAGAGCAGATGTGACCTGGAAGTAAGGTACAGAACGGATACCGTCCCGTAGGTAAGGTTCCTACCTTAGTACCTTGGTAGGTACTGTAAGACAGTCCCTACCTACCTAGAGGCTAACGGTACAGGGCCAGGGCAGGGCAGAGCCCGTGTCGCGGGGATGTAGTGTTAGTACCTAGGTACCTAGGTATTTACCGACTTACTGAGGGGCGAGGGGTAGGTGCTATGATGGATGCCAGCAATGGAATGGATGGCTACAGTACAGGGGCTAGATCTGAAAGATGCTAACGAAGCAGATGGGAAAGCTAGGTACCTGGACATAAATATGTAGGAAAGGCTACAGACAGTTAGCTACTGACCTATCTACTAATGTCATGAAAAAGCTACCTGTGCTGGTGATATGTAGGTATTAAACATGGGCCTCGGGAGGGCTCTGCAAGGACATGGGGAGGTTACCTTAGCTCAGTTTCCTCGCTTTCTAACTGACTAGGGTTAGAATATCGCTGGCGCAAAAGACCAGTCAGATAGTTGAATGGAGTTGAACTTTTGAATTGTGTCCTTCTATGACCGAACCACTTGAAGGCTATGATTGAGCTTGTGGGGTGCGCCACTCGACATTGCGCACGCGCACAGCAGAATAAAGAAGCCGAGGGGGGTCTGTACTCTGTGCTGAACCAGCGATCTAATGATGCCTGTGGAGCAGTGCTATGTACCAGTCGACTGAAGATGGGCGAGCCTTTAGGTTGTTGAGATGGGCTGTCAGGGTAGGAAGAGAACAAAAGAGAATAGAAGGATACCGAGTCTTACTGATTCGGTAATGATGAAAGAGCTTCTCGGCATGTACGGAACCTATCTCGAAATAGGATCAGTTTTCGAATGACCAATCCCGAATCCTTTTTGGAATCAAGTGTCTTGGCTGGTCCCTGATATATCGAGGACGGACAAGAGCAACCTTGTTGGGCGATTGATGGCTTTCTTAGGTACCTTACCTACCTAAGTACCTACCTTACCTTACCTAGTAGGTAGGTAGGTATGTACCTAGGAGACAAGGATAGTGGGTACTGAGACCCGAACCTTCTCGTCCCTGGACTCTTTGAAGGACAAGACAGTTGTCAGTTGTCGTGGGGGTGCCAGATTTGAATACTTAGGGAGATGCTAAAGGTGATGTCGGGGAGTTGATACTGGGTAAGTTACTAGCCGCTAGTCAAGTCCTCCGCGACTACTATTCGTTTTGTCCTTGTTAACGTGTTGTGTTCAAAATGAGGTGGGCTAGGTAAACTACCAGGTAAGCAACAATTCGTCAGCAAAGGTGCTGTCTCTACATCACGTGCTGTATATGATGAGCTTGACCAGATAACAAAACCTCTACCTATTAATGACCATCATGGAATGCTGAGGCGGAGATGTGTGCGGGTATGAAGGAACAAGAGGAGGTGGTAGATACCAGGTAGGTAGGCATAGTAGGCAATAAATCCGAGACGATGGTGTCAAACCGGGTATGGATGTTGTTCGTTTCTCCTTCGTAGGTATTAGTAATTATTGAGAGAGCTGAACATGGTCGTTTAGTACTCACCTACATACATGGGAATCAACACCAATGATATCAACCTAACAAGTCTGAATAATAGTACTACCTATACGGAGTACTGTAACTTACTAAGTGAACATGTGCCTTACCTCCATGCTACAAGGTAAGGCAGTACTTATTTCATAGTCAGTTTCTTGCAACGCTCCTCTCGGAGTTCTTATGATATCACGTATATAAGCTCAGTGACTCGCGAACAAGCGCTGAAATAAATAACACTGTTCTCTTTCGTCTCCCCATTCCTTGACAAGTAGGATCTCTACACTGTGGTGTCAAATCTCGTGATTGGTGACCGACCATTGGTCGTGGCAGATCCTTAAGAGTCCGACCAATCCAATCCATGCATCCATAGTTGCAAAGATCCCTATCAGGTCCCTGAAGACAGAAGTGATCAAGATGAGGCAAGAAAACTTAGAATCTCTATCCCAAACGACCGAAAAAACGAATAAATTGAGTATCATTTGGTGTAGATCTGATAGACCTTATATAGAGCATAATCTTCTTGCTTTGGCACTCTTGTTCAACATCAAATATGGTCTTTCTCCCTGGAGGTTATAAACAAAGGCAAACTACTGCGTGCTGCCTGTATGTATCTGTGAGGCGTCAAACAGAGCACCACTGTTGCCGCTGGAATTAGATATTGTTCCTTGGCCTCCGAATCGTTATGCTGCTTTTATAAGTGATGTGAAGTGGGCAACTCTCGTTGGTAAATCATTGGCCTAATTCCAACTTCTGTTCAATGTTGTGCCGTCCGAGTTGTAATCGTAGTGCTGCGTATATCGATCGCTGTTCTGCCTTAGTAGACAATTTACCCAACACCACAGGAATCCTGAGCCTCATCTCAAAGTTGCCAACGCAACAGTGTTATTGGCTATCTGTGTATGTGATGCTACCATAGTATGGCCTTAATATGACATTGACACCAACTATCAGCTGGTCAAGATATATAGAGATTTTGATGAGTATGAGCAAATACATACATATCTATGTATGTACCATACTACCTAATAGTGATTCACTGATTGTGTACTTTAGTAATAGTGGCTGCATCTCATTGCAGTCTCAGGAGTATACATCGTGTACCTTGGGTGCATATGGTAGAAGCTCAATGCATGTCGCCCCTGTAATCCTCGCGTCCAACAAGCCTTTAATCACGAAAATCGGCCAATAATTATGCCTTCCTGTCTTTGCTCAGGGGATGCACTTTAGTACCCATGAAGCTGCTGTCTAACAGTCGTTATTAAAGGGGTTTGGTCAGCAACTCCAATAGTTGCTGTGCGCTATGCAATGCCAGTATCTTCGTCTTCCCACTTCCTTGACTTCCTAACCTTATTTGCTTGCCCCCATTTCGCCTGGCCCTGGTATGCCATGATGTGGGAATGGGAAAATAGGTAGCGTTCTCCTGTATATACCAAGGAGCCCCAGACTTGGGCCAGAGATAATGCAGAGTGCCAAGTCTGCAGATGAGATCAAGTCAAGACATCCCCATGGATTTTGTATGGTTCTAATCATACATGTGTGCCATTTGACCCCTCTTAGGACAGTCGACAGCTTTGTGACCAGTCTGGTGGCACTTGTAGCAGGTCATGGCTTTTCCAGCAGGGGGGAACTGGCTCCCGCCTCCTGAAGAAATACCACCACCGGAGGATATTGATGTTGGCTTGCTGAGCTTCACCTCTTTCTTCTTTCTTCTATCCCGGAATTCTTTGGCTTTGGCACTCTCTGCAGTTGGTCGTGACCGGGAACGGGAGCGTGAACGGCTTGGGCTATCACTGGATGGCTTCCGCTTTTGTCCATGTGCCGGCGTATTTGTTTCTTCTGAGTCCTCATCTTCACTATCGCTGTCGTTGTCTGATGTCTTCTGGGATTCTTGTTTCTGTCACGGTCAGTCAGCAGTCTTGGTCCTATCTATCACAGCATAAGGTGGTGATCGACATGCCTGGTTCGCCGCCTTCTTGAAGCTATTTGTCGAAGTACGCCCGTTTCTCGGCACGTCCTCGTTATCGCCTGAGTCGTTAGATGAATCCATATCACCATACCCAACATACACGACATTGAGAGGTGCTTTGGTCTGAATTGCAGCTTTCAACCCAGCAAATGGGTTGTCAAGAACCCAATGGGTGTCGGCCCCAACATGCTTCTCCATAGCCTCTTGTCGTTTAGTTTCTTGTGCATTGAGAGCAGCCTTGATTGCAGCCTGGTCAATGTTCAGGTCAAGGCGACCCGCCGCTGGAGAATGTCCAGTCTTTCTTTTCTTGGATGAATGTGTTTCTGAATCCAGGGACGAATTTTCTGAGGCTACTGCCCGTTGCATAAACTTCATAGTAAGAAGTCTCGAAGAGACTGCTCGTGGTGTTTCGGGCGCCATGATGAATGTTCGTGTCAACAATTATTATCTTTGCGAAGACGCTTCGATATAATTCGAGTGGGAAAAGCTCCGGTGGCGCAAACACGTGGATAGGCTATAGCTACAGCGCAGAAAACGGCCCTATATATTAGTTTAATTCATGAAGATCAATTGACAAACTCTTGCAGTGATTCGATTACAAGAGGGCAAAAAAGATTGTGTTTATCGCAAAACGCATTGTTCCTCAAGGTTCCAGGCGCATTACCTCCGTCACGTCTAGGAAAATATTTCGGTCACGGATAAACTAGAAATCCGGAGCTGCAATCATGAACTGCCAAATTCAATACCTCGCATCTACGAGAATATCATCCAGCGCCGACACTGACGACTCGATCCGCACACCGGGAAACCGACGAATTTACAATGGCCACATCTCAATTGAGAGCAATTGGCGTCTTTGCGCGCGGTGCGCGCCTCTCCCAGCGCGCCTTCACCACCTCCACTCGGCAATTCGAGGCTGCTGTCTCTACCAAAACTAACGAGACTGCCCCCGCCCCGGTCAACGAGAACAAGCCTGTTGAGATCAATCAAGCTCCCAACCGCGTCGGTGTCTGGTCCCGTAGCCAGAGACCACGTTCTCAGGCCATGACCGGCCCCCGATTCGAGCAGACCGACTTTGATCTCCAGGTACAGCCAGGGCGAGGGAGCTAGGATGGAATATCAAATCACTAACTGTATTATAGCCTCAACCCAAAGCCGCCATTGAGATGATTCACAAGCAACCCGTTACATGGACGCACGAGCGCATTGTTGCCTGCAATGGCGGTGGTGGCCCTGAGGGTCATCCTAGGGTCTTTATCAACACCGACAAGCCCGAGATTGCCGTTTGTGGCTACTGCGGCCTACCTTTCGTACGGCACACCCCTAGCAATTTGTGCTTTTTTAATACTTATACTATATTTCAGGCCCACGAACACCACCGAACCCATCTCGAATCCCTCCCAGAGACTTCTTACCCTCTGTCATAATCAGCTTCGAATCATAGAACCGGAACGGGAGGGCTGTTATCTGGATCACTACCTTGACATGTGCTAGAGGCAAAAATGGTCCGTGTACTGTGATGTTTCTGAATGGAGAAGTCAAACCTCTGTGTATACTCCGCGAATACAATGAAAGAACAAACCGACAGCTTTCCCAGTGCGGTCTTCATCTCTATCTGCCCTGATGACACGTTAAAATCACCATCGATTCAGCATGTTCTTAAGAACGATCACAGATATCCGCTGAAGCGTTCGGTTGCGGAATCTTGCTACAGTCTCACATTATCAAAATGAATGTGATGCTTGCCTGGCCTCCGGCGATAGAGTGAGCTTATGGGGAACTAATCTTAGGTACTGATACCTAAAGGGGATTATAAATGATGCGCTGTGATTGGATAAAGAGGAGCTTGATATAAACTGATATGTAGAAAGAGACCCATACCTACCTACCTAGGGTCCAACTCTGGCCCCACTATGACGGTTGTTTGCTTTCAAGCACGATTCGTTCTAATAAGCCATGCCTCAACTTCAAACATCACGTCTCAACTCTGCAACGACACCAGTGCTTCTCTGTTTACTACTTGTAATATCTCTGTTCCCCGGTCTGTTTCACTATCTCTGGACACTGCCTTTTAGCCTTGTTGGATTATCAGGACCCCCTCAACCCCGCTCAACTGCCCGTCCAGTGACAGACCCTTCGACGGCAACAACCATGAGTTTTTTTCAGAAGCAATTCACACTTCCTGCCAAATCACGGGGTTCATACCTCATAACTGACCAGGTTGTGTCTTCACTTCCCGAAATTCGGGATTACAAGGTCGGCCTTTTGAACCTTTTCGTTCAACACACGAGCTGTGCTTTGAGCTTGAACGAGAACTGTGAGCTGAATTATTCGGGCCTGGAGAGCTCTTGATGCTGATATGAGAAAACCAAGGGGACTCTGATGTTCGGGAGGATATGAGCGATGCTCTTGATAGAATCGCGCCAGCTGAAGGACCCAAGGGAGAGGCTCTATACCGCCATGAGTAAGTGCTTTGCGTATGAGCCGCAAGAGGAGACATTGACACCCGATAGTGCCGAGGGCCCAGACGACATGCCTGCCCACATCAAGTCTGCACTCATTGGGGCCAGCGTTACTATTCCCATTAAGGATGGAAAGCTTGTAAGTGTCAGCCAATCTTTGACCCGACCATAAGTGACTGATATCGCCATACTTAGGCTACAGGAACTTGGCAGGGAATCTGGTACCTCGAGTTCCGTGCCGCTTGCCACCAGAGACGGGTCGTCGCAACTATCCAAGGGGAAAAAGTTTGAGTGAGATGCACAGAAAAGTGGAACTTAGATGTATAGAAAACAGGAAGAAGACAGAAAACCTATACTTGAGCTTTTACACATCCTTCCTATACGGGCAAACAACCAAAAACGCCGAACACCACGCCGTGTCTCCGCGGTCATATAGAGGGATCAGCTTGTTCCATTCTCCTCCTTCATGTCCGTATCATCGCCTGCCAAGACTTTTGTGTATGGAACATAGCCCTCTGGCGCGGCAGACCCTGGTGTGGCAGCGACGACGTTGCCATTCTCGTCCACAAACTCAAAGTTGTATCGACTGAGAAGATGGGGAATTGCAGAAAGCTGTGGGCCGTATCGGGCAGTGTTATCGTAAAGCTCGAATAGAGGAACGGCCAGAAGCTTCATGTTCTTGGGAACGCTTAGAACCTCTGCAGGAAGAATAAGTATCTAGTTTCTCAATGATGATCGGTTAACCTACTTTGTTTGGGCAACTGGATAAAGTAGAGCTTCTTGCACTCCTTTGGCCTCGTCACATGCGCCGGGATAAACGGATACATGAATGTTTCGAAGTTAGGCCTCCACCACTGAGCAAGGCAGTCGCCCACTTGCCAATCACCAGCTTCCTCGCCCTCTCCTAAGCGGCCGACAGGCGCCAGTCTCTCGTCGAGCCGCGACTTGAAGCCTTGAATTTCATCGTCTTCGGGGCGCAGGTAGTCTCCGGGGAGCTTGAAAAAGGCATTGGCGATTTGCAGCATCAGGATATGTGGGTGGTTGTGCTCATGGCAGACGAGGATGCCTTCGCAAGTGCGGCGCATCCCATGTTCCGTGTAGTGTTCTTCGAGTCTCTTGAGACGAGCGATGACTGATGGGTCCTCTTCAGGCTGGGTTTCCTTGACCCCGAACGTGTAGTTCGACAGTGGGTAGAGCGTCACCTTTTCGGGTTGGTTACCATTAAAGGACAGAGGAATGACGGGCGGCTGTCCTGACTGAAGCGCATCGGGGGTTATTGTTGACATGACTGCTACCCGGGCGCTGTCAAGGGAGAATTATTATATAGTCAGGTATCTCGAAGTCGCTCAACGTTTTATGCTGTCGTCAAGTCGAATGCAGGACAGTATTGGCTACCAGAGTACGGAGTATCTAGATTGGTACCTCAAGGAATTGCGGAGAGCTCAGGCCTGTCAGTGCTTGAGGAGCTTCAGGATTATTCACGGCAGAAGATGTCCCAGTTTCCTAAACAAGAAGGCGGTGTAGCGTCGCCAGGAAGTGTTACAATGTACAAGTACCTTTAGTGTTTACGATGAATCAAGCAATAAATCGTATTGAGGGACTCATAATCCGCTATTTTAGCTTATGCGAAGCAATGAGTGTACGTACTTATTAGAATATTACCCCAACTGAGTTGATACTACCTAGTACTTACCTTATATTCCATGGATGGTAACTGTGTGGCGCAGAAAGGCAGTACCTAGGTAGGTATTTCCAGCGAGTTGATGTTCTGATTTCGTTGCGACAAGCTTGTTACATCCATACACTTACAATCACCTATCAGGAAAGAAACAGGGCTCAAGAATAGCAATTTTGACGTAGCCACAATCTGAAGGGTATATATGTCGATTTAAAAGTAAAATATCTCCCTTAATGCTTTGATAAATATTGGATACTTCAAGATTAAACAGTCGTCTGACATAGTACCTACCTACCTTAGAGTCATGGCTTTGAGGAACATTGTATTTTCGTTGAACCTGCCTTCTCAGGTAATAGGTAGATGATGTAACTGGCTAAGATTTCTGATGGTGCTGCATGATAATAAAGGTTCCGAGTTGGATTCGATCGAGCTTTTCACAGGAGAACTTTCGTATTATAGGTATAACAGGACGAAACAGATGACTGATAGCTGGAGAGGTACCCGCACTGACTGTGACCAAGGCGCAAGTCATGGATGCCCTGGGCGTTTGGATAACGGGGTTAACCGGCGGGGTTTCTTTTTCTTTCTAGCATACCACCTACTACCTACCCAGTCGAACTAGCTGAATGCTTCCAGGGCAGCAGGGGAAAGGTGCTTATACCTGTCTTCAGTCAAGTCTTATCCTTGGATCAGATGTTATGTAGGTAGACAAGTGATCGTCGCAATGGGTGTCCGGAACCGGCCAGTCGGGACAAAGAATTGTTGTTTGGCTGAGGTACTATAACCTTAGATCAGAGCTGACGAAGTCAGAGAAGACCAACCAGTTCGCCCATAGAGTTAAACATATAACTAGTAGTCAATTGGCGATTTGCAGCAGGACTGATAGTAGTCGAATCATTCACTCATCCTATATCGATCGTATCTATCCATCCATCCGTTCGATTCATCATGCTCTACCCGAGCCGTTAAAATATTGGAGACATACCTTAGGTAGTAGTTACCTAGTAGGTAGGCATGTAAGGTACTAGGTAGGTAGGTAGGTACCTAGGTAGAGATTGATCGAGACCCATTGTAAAATTATAGGTCAAAAGTCTGACAACACCCTGCACAGTGTCGGCTTATATTAGCATAAATCCACTTTTATATACTTCTTTTTCTAGAGATATTTATATAATATTTAACATATAAAAAATTTATATATATAATTAAGAAATAGAATATACTAATTATATTAATATAAATAAATTAGATTTTATATTAATAAAGTTATAAATTCTTAAAGTAAAAGGGTTTAGTTATACAGTATAAAAAGCACTATAAATGTTAAGGCTTGAATAAAATAGCCATAGCCTATAAATTCACTATAAGTAGTAGGATATACTATAGTAATAGAAAAGGAGGAGGAGGTATTAAGAGAGTAGAAAGTTATAACTGCCAAATAGTGAGGTATAGGGTAGGATTTATAAGATAAAAGTAGGTCTGTTAAATAGAGCAAATTCTTCCGAATTTAATGATATATATTATGTAATTAGGAAGCTAATAAGTCTGTAACTAAAAGGAAGTTCCCTAAGTAGAAAGTCCTAGGGTTTATATAGACATTCTAAAGAGCAGGCATTAAAATTCCTAAAGAGGGGTAGACCCAATAGTAACAGAATAACTATCATAAAAACCGCCAAAATTCAAAGAAAAATAAGATATACTTTTTACCTAATTTAGAAGGCGCTAGCCTTTAGTAGGCTTATAAAGCTTAAATAAAAAAGTAAGGTTTTTTATAGTATGTTATAAATTATCTAACTAAGGGGTAAAATCTTATATATATAATCCTTATTATATAATTATTATGTAACCCAGTTTACGTAACTTTCTGACTAATATTCCCTTAGTAGGAAATATTTAAAGTTTATAGGAAGAAACTTTAATATGTGGAACTTGCTTAATTCTCTATATTTTGCTTAGGTAAGCATACTAATCGAAAGCCCTGATTTTTCTTATTATTTTGATATATATTTTGCCCTGATTAGTCATCTGGATTATAATATATTCCTTAGTTATATAATAAGACCTTTATATAAAATTAGGTCTTAATAATAAATAAAGGCTAATACTATATTACTCCCTATAAGGCCCCTATAGCTTAAACTTTATTTTTCTTCACTAACTCTATCTTTTAAAACCTATATAACTTATTAAATATAAACTATAAATTAAAAATAAAAATAAAACCAAGTAAATAAATAGTAAAAGTTAATACTAGTATTTTTATTTTATTTTTATTATTTCTTTAGAATTTATAATAAGTAGATTTACTAACGGTAGATTTAGTGGGGCTAACCTGTGCACTGTGAAGGTGTTGTCAGACTTTTGTCATATGATTGTATGTCGAATTTTAGAATGGTCTAGCCAGACTTAGAACCATGGCCGCTATTAGGCGTACCAATGTTCGCACTATTATCCCCCCAAACCTCGATTTGTGTTTGGTCTGCCGACGGCCTCGTCGCCGTCAAAATCAAAAATCCCCATTCTAACGTTGATTTACTTATCTCCTGCCCTTACAACTCACGATCCTGCAAGATCCTTCACGTGCCGTCACTCATAAAAATCCCCTTCTCTGGCAAGGCAAACATCTTTCCCGAGCTCGTTGCGTCATGCGCATACCGAGACATCCCTCTTTGTCTAGTCTTAGCTTCCCTAGAGGAACCTGTTAAAACTCACGGCACTACGAGTACTGTAGGTATACGAGTAGACTATGGATGAGGCAAGCCTTGTCAATAGCCTCTCTCAGAGGCTCTCAGAGCTCGAGCACAAGGTTCACACCTTTCGCCACGAGGTGGCAGCTGATTTCCTGCGCTACTACCACGATCTGCTCCGAGACACACAACCCGAAATCGCTTCCAATGTTGCCCAGTCCATAGCCCAGTCACTACCCAAATACCCAGACCTCAGCTCAGTTCTCACAAGTCTGGATCTGGACCTTGATAAAGCTGCAGCTGACTCACAAACTCTACCACTTGAGTCGACTCAACGCCACTTTTCCCCGCCGGCCACTGTCGCTACCTCCGGATCGGGAGCCGCAGAGCCTCCAGGCAGCCCCCGCGATCGACATCACGAATTGCTCTTTTACCTTCCCCTGCTAGAGGGCTCTCCTCCAAGACCGCCTACCTCTCCTCACCTCACAAATAACCACACTCCTCCTCTCGACATGTTGTTGCCTGACCCGAGCATCCAGGCAGATGAGAAGCAAGACTCAGCCATTGAGACAGGAAGGAAACCCGATAACGGCACTGACCAACTACAGAATGCCTTGCCGATAGTGCCTCATTCGCCTGGACGGCCAGGTCATGTTCGCCGCTCAACCAATGATACCGTCTCGTCGTGCCATTCGGATCGGAGCGAGTCGAAAACACCACGGAGCGCCCTACGACGGTCTTCAAGTAGTTCCAAACCTCCACAGAGTCCCAGGCGTGTGCGCTTTGATGTCATGGGAGCAGAGGTCTTGCCTACAGCGTCGCCACAACCTACCGATTCCATGGTTCCCTCTGCCGCATCTGCCGACCAGCCTCGCGCTGGATCTATGCTCGACGATGACCTGGAGGACCTACCACCGCCCCGAAAGATTTCCTCTTCAGAAGCACTGAGAGCACTATCTAGGGCGCCGTTGGAGGAAGGAGTGTGGACCGAGGTTAATTCAAATCCAGATCAAAGGGCCGGCGAAGAGGACAAGAAATCTGCTAGCATTTCTGAATCTCCGTCAGAAGAGCGGGCCAGCCCGATTATTATTGCACCGGAATCGCCATCGCCACGCCATGTTCCCGAATCTGTTCGGATCGAACGCACGTTGGGGAGCGTGAGCGAGGATCCAGAGGAGGACCAGGATTCATCCGATGATGACTTTCTTTCAATGGCGAAACCTAGATCTTTTACCAATAAGAAAGCGCCTGCATCACCATCTCTGAACAGAATCCCCGAGGAGAACCAGACCAGTGGCTATGATGCAAGCCTAGCCTCACCCACTAAAGCTCTTAGTTCTGGTACGCATGACGAAGTGGGAGCTGCCAACGAAGACTTGGATGAGGAAGACGAGCTTTTTCACTTTGAGGAAGGCGGCGGCTTATCTGCGCCGCCAAAGCCCAAATCGAAACCAAAACCTCTTACGGCCGAGGAGGATATCGAAGTTGACTTACCGGATGTACCGGAGACCGAGCAATCTTTATACGCAACTTCACCGGCAGTACACATAACCAAGAGGCCTGGCTCCGGGCCGACGACACCAATCGCGGCACGATTTCAAGCTGGTTCCGTGGGATCATACAAAGGACGGCCAGTAGTCATGCCTGTCGTTCGTAATCCCGAAGTTCATGCTCAAGCTGCGTCATTAGGGCATTTCAATACGTTTGTTGGGGGATTGGACGGACGCAGTGGCATGGATGAAGCAGATCTAAGTAGCTTCCGCGCCAGCGTCGCTAATACCGGCGGCTTCTCTGGCACACCGCGCAGTTTCACGGAACGCCTGATGATGGAAGAAGCTCAAAAGGCAAGGGCTGGTGGTTCGAAGTTAAGCTAAGAATACATTACCACAAGGAGTTTGGGGATCTTATGCATACGTCAAGGCCTTGGGCCCGGAATTCTGGATAGCTCGTTGTTGGCGTTGAACATATTGCGATAAGGAGTTTACATATTTTATACAGATATACACGCACAGGTGGTGGGTTGTGGATTAAGGATGATATACGATTAGAAAACGTTATATATACCTCTTCGTTGAGGGAATGGTTGGCCAAGGCATTCGAGATGGCAGAAAACTCTCATGGGAATGCCCTAATATGAATTTTTATTCTCTGTCCTTGTAGGTAGGGTCTTACCCGGGTAAGTAGGTAAGTAGTTTTGGTATCATGATGCCTCAAAGAAATAGTATCGTGCAATTGGCTGGGCTCACATGGAAAGCTAGGTAGGCTACCTTAGGTACTTACCAATCATAGGTCGTGATCTGATTTTCATAGCGGGGTACCTAGTGGTTTCTAACGCTCTACCGGGGGTATGTAGCTAGAAAGCATCATCCCGTCATCCAACGCAAGACAAACATTTTGCCTCCATTCTCAACTTCCACGCAATTGCCTAAGAAGGTGTCAAAGAAAACGACATTCAAAATGGGTGGCCTTAACCTAGAAGTGTTCAAGGTATGCTTATGTTGTGTCCCTAGAGCTGGTTTTATATGTTTTAGTTGCCCTATTCGAAGAAGATGACGAGTTGCGAACAAGACAAGACACTGACATGACATGCCCACAGTTCGGCACGTATGTCATGTTCCCCATCGGAATCATGTTCTACTTTGGCACCAACCTCGATAACCGCTTTGCCGTACCTGGCTTCTGGCCCAAGCCCGAAGAGTGCAACAAGATCCCCAAGGACCGAGACGAGATCAAAGCCGAGTATGACCGCATCGTGGCGCGACAAAAGCTCCGACAGGCTAAAAAGCTTGAAGAGGAACGCAAAAGAGCAGCACAGCAAGCCGAGAATGATCAGTCCGATTCTTGAAGCCCAGCGAATCGGATTCAAGCATGTACATTATTAGCCAGAGGGTTCGGCAACGGCAGCATTAACGATGTATTCATGGCGTTTGGAAGGCATTGGAAATATTCCCCCTCTGTTGGTTTGGGCAAAATACAGCATCTTACAAAATTGCTACAAAGTCGTCGATGTTCTGTGTTTTATACATCCAGGTTTCTTTCAACCTTGTCCCACTCTTCATCCCCTACAGCTCCCTGACGTACATTGGCATAAATGGCTCTGACCTCAGGATATTCCTTGAGTCCGTTGAAGAGCATGTCGAGAGTATCAGCTTGCTCTGTGGTGTCGATGCTCACTTTTGTGTCCTCATTCGGTGCCCAGACAATGTCTGCGTCGAGAATCTCAAGCTCAAACTTTTTGGACAGGGCCTCGGTGATGGCTGTCAACGTGTTTGGCAGGGTCCAAGCCAAGAAGTCCCCCTCTGGCAGTTCCTCGACATCTTCCAACCCCTCGTGCTCAATCGCCTCGTCCAGAACATCGGAGAGTGACGGCCCGCACTCCTTGGCTTTGAAAACGGCTCTACCACGTCTTGTAAAGTAGAAGGTTGTTGACCCAACCACTCCGCCGGCCTTTTTCACCACGAGGCGCAGGTCATGAAGAGTCCGAGTCTTGTTGTCTGTCTCAGCATCGATGACCATCGCGATATCAGGGGGCATAAGGACCTCCAAAGACATAGACTCTAACTGTGCGCCCGTGGCTGAACGACCTTGACCTCGTGCAATTGCACCCTCGATTAAGTTCTTTGGTATACTTGCTAACACCAAGAGTCAGACGCAACCCCAGACTAAAGACTACTGTGCATATATACCTTTTGTTGCAGCGCTTATTGCAGTGGCCAGTTGAGGGTTGAATTTGACATCATCTCCATACACTATCGAATATTAGAAAACCTTCAGGCCGTAAATACTGACACATTAATGCCTACTTCTTGAATACATAGCAATCGTCTTAGTGAAATTAGATCTCTCAGTCATCTTCTTCTTATCAGTTACAGCTTTGATGTGTTTTGTCTTGGACCACTTGTTGTGACCAGCCATTTGAGCAGGTGTCGTCACGAAAGATCGTCGACATTGGTGACAGATTGAGTTGGCAATTGACTTTGGTGCCTTTATCAGCGGGCTCAGGCACTTTCGTGTCGCCATAATGAGCGAGGGAGCCACTCGAGTCTCAGAATATGCCGATAGAGAAATATTCGGGTTTCGTGATTTCTCGTCCGAGTCTTCAACGGGCATGGCCCAGCTCAGGGTAAGTCGGCCAAACTCCGGACGCTGAGGATGCCCCACAATAGTTCATGTACAGTGGCCCTTGGGGAGCAAGAAAACACCGGACCTTAATCTAGGGTACTAAAATAAACTTATTAAAGATCCCCTAAACTTAAGATAAATATACCTAAATATTTTTATTGCTTAGGGTTAAGGTTTTGTGTTTTCTTTTCTAGAAGTAATGGAACCTAAGTGGCATGTGGCTACCTAGGTAAGGTAAGTGTAACTATAGTACCTTACCTACCTTATTAGGTACCTATGGAGTCTAGTCTAGGGGATCTCAAAGTCAGCTACTTACCTACCTACTTTAGGTATCCATTACTAGTCTTACCTCTTGAAACGTACATAGCAAGAGACCACGAATTCAATTACACCTGCGACTTCACTACGTATTCTTTCAGCTCTAACATAGTTGACGGCGTCGATTTTCGTACGTAATGTCGTCAACACAGGAGCCTGAAGCTCCAGCTCCAGCACGGAATCCCGAAGCGCAAGCTCCCTCCGACACCGCGACTACGAATCCAGAGCTCGATCTCCCCAAGCTTCAGTCACTCCCCGCCGAACAGCAGGATCTTTTCCTGCTCACTTATGTCTCGAGCTTGACGAAGCACGTCCTTGACCTAGCAGAGGATGATTGCACAGCACAGCAATTCTATCTCAAGAAGGAAATATTCCAGATAATCAGCCTCTCTTCACCGCAGCCTTCTCGAGTCATCCGGAATAATTTGGGGAAGTGCTTAGCACACATCTTCGGAATTGGAGACAGGAAGCTTCTCTTCGAAACGATCAACGACTTGATCGCCATTATATCGAGTGGAAAGTCAAAGTCCGATGCTGAGATACGGACCAAGCATGCGGCTATAGTCTGCCTAGGCGATGTGTTCGCTTCTGCTGGCGATAGCGCCATTGGGCTACACCCCCTTGCTTGCTCAAGCTTGCTCAAGCTTCTCAAGTCGTCCTCGAACAATGCTGGAATCCGTGCAGCATGCCTTACCGCTCTTGGAAAGATCGTTAGTATGGTTGAAGGTAGCATGGACGAAGTGATTGCGCGTGATATCTGGAAACAAGGACGAAATCATGCTTCATCCGACAAAGGCCATCTTGTCGTTGCTTCCGCCTGTCGGGCTCTCAAAACATTGTTCAGGCACACGCCTTATTTCTTATACTCGAGTGACCTGGACAAACTCGAGACTGCAATATCCAAAGCATTTGACTCTCCTTCAGTCCAAGTCCGACTGGCTGCAGCAGAGTGCTTTGCCGAAGCCCTGTTCCAGGGTCATTCGGAGGGCGGTCCACCAGAGGTAGCGTCACCAAAGGGAAAAAAGAGCAAAAAGGCACTGAAACGCCAGTCCACGATACCTAAAATTGCCGATGATGAGCTGGACATTCCCTCTAGATCAGCGAGCCCAGCTCCTTCAGGCAAGCGCAGTCAAGTGCTAGCTCTGTCTCTGACGGATATCCTCAAGAACCTGGCATCCCAATATATAAAATCGACAGCCTCAAACAGAATCCGAACAGCCATTGGTGTGTGCTATGGCAAGCTTTTCAGGCGCCTAGGAGAAAAGCTTGTCGAGACAAACTATCTCAAAATAGTCGAGAGTCTCGCGATAGATGTGCTGGGTCACTCTACAATCGCCAACAATCGATATCGACTTCTTATTTCCAGAAATATAGTCGACGTTGTTATACAGGATGTCATTGGGCGTAAGATTTTGGGAGAGTCTGGCCAAATATCCGCTGCAAAATCTCTCATCAACAATATCTTCAAGAACTACCCTCAAGCTCTAGCAGAAAGGCCAGAGCCTTCTAAGCATACTCTGATCGCGACGCTGAGCGCTGTGTCTTCGCTTATCCAATCACTAGGATCTGCGGCAAATACCTTCGCAGAATCATGTCGAGATGGTCTCTTGCAAGTCTTACAACATTCCAGTTATACTGTTCAGGTATTTGCATCTCACTGCATGAAGACGCTTGTCCTTGCCTGCCCCCAACAGCTTCTTCCTTGCCTTTCTGTTTGTATGAACAGTCTGAACCGAGAACTATCCCTTCTCGGATCGGGACGTAATTCGCCTAGAAGATGCATTGGATTTGCTCATGGACTCGCCGCGACTCTGAGTGCAAGCCCTGCTCGTCCACTCTATGGGTCAGTTGAGATCAATAGTCGCGTGTTGACTATTGCGACAAATATGTTGAAATCGAGCAGTCAAGCGCAGCTCAGGGTTGCAAGCACACAGATTCAAGTCGCTTGGGTTCTTATTGGAGGCTTGATGTCCTTGGGGCCAAACTTTGTCAAGATACATCTATCACAGCTCCTTTTACTTTGGAAGAATGCGCTTCCAAAACCCCTCGCCAAAGATAATACATCAGCCCGAAGTTTCCTAGAGGTGTCGTTCCTGACACATGTTAGAGAATGCGCGATGGGCTCAATTTTGGCCTTCCTCGAATTCAACAGTCGACTTTTGACTGTGGATGTGTCAAAGAGAATAGCCACCATGCTCCAGAACACGACGGCCTTCCTGAGAACTCTGCCGTTTAAGAAGATCTCTGACGACGTCAGTCAGCGACTAGCCCCTGCTCTACAGCTCCAAGATCTTGAGATGATGGTTCAGCGCAGAGTCTTGCAATGTTACGTCAGGCTCGTCAACCTCAGTCCTGCTGGTGGAAGCGAGGCACTCTTACAGTCTAATTTGCTGACGCTAGCGATTTCACTCTTCGCCGACCCGGAGAACTATGCACCAAACTCTTTGAGTGCCTCGATTGCGAACGCAGCCGCTACATTCGAGTCTGTCTGGGATGTGGGCGACAACTCGGGTTTCGGAATTACTGGCCTTGTTGCTGGCCCCCGTGTCAGAAAGCTCCCTGGGCAGCAGGAAAACTCCGATGATGGGAACACAGATGAGCTCGATAGTCCAGAAGACATGATAAATAACCTCCTGCGCTCGCCAATCTGTGGCAGTTTAGAGCATGATGCATCTGTCCTGTATATTGGCAGTACAGACTCATTTTTTTCAAGTCCTGATCCTCCTGCCACAGAGGTCATCAATGCGGCTATTCAGCTGTTTGCATTCGCCTTCCCACTCACTCCTGGCAAGGTTCAGGAGAGTATACTCGAACAGATTCGAACATTTGCGTCTGCTGGCACCCTGATCAGAGATCCTGGGCGCAAGGCCGCCATCAACGTCAACCTTGCTGCGGCCATTCTCGCTACCATGAGGGTAGCTGTGAAAGAGACGAAATCGCCTTCCGGTGACATTTCGAACCAGGCAGTGGAAGCGTTGCTCCAAGATATCGTTCGCGACTTTGTCCTTGACCCAGACGAACATGTCAGAAGCTTGGGGTACGCTGCAACTGCTCGCTTATGCAATGTGTATGGAAATGGCTTTACGAATAATGAGATCAAGTACCTAGTCGATACCATTGTGGGCAACCGTGAACCTAGTGCGAGAGCGGGCTGTGCTATGGCACTTGGGTCAATCCAAACTCAGGTGGGTGGCATGGCGGCCGGTTACCACCTGAAGACAATCCTCGGCATCTTAATGTCTCTCTGCAATGACCCTCATCCGGTGGTCCATTTCTGGGCACTCGAAGCACTATCACTCGCAGCTGATGCCTCGGGGCTAAGTTTTGCTGGCTACGTCCCCAGCACTTTGGGTATGCTTGTTCAGCTTTATGTTTCAGAAACCCATCATGCCGAGATTTCCTCTGCAATTACAATGAATCTCGAGCTCGAACTTTCCACGACATCTGCTATCGCTCGTTGTGTTGATTCCCTCATCAACGTCCTCGGTCCTGACCTACAGGATGCCACGAAGTCAAGAGAGCTGATATTCACTCTTGTTAACCGTTTCCGTGAGGAGGATGATTGGCTGGTGCAGCGGGCTGCGCTGGGCTGTCTAGAGCATGTGTCGCTTTACGCCCCTGGACACATGCAGTTCGCTGACTACGTCAAGTTGCTTCAAAAGTACTTGATGTTTGAATCAACAACTTTACGAGATGTATCAGTGGATGGGATACACAACATGATGAAACGGAATCCACAGGACGTCCTCAAAGAAGCAGATGCCGGGTTTGAGGAACAGCTTTGGCTAGTCCTTGACACCGTTCCGTCTCATGACGGGATTCGCAATATCATCCGCAACTGGATGCATCACACATGTCTTACGGAGACCAACGCTTGGCTTCAGAGATTCCAGGCTGTACTCAAGATGACAAGAGCACGACCCAAGGCAGAAGATACTCAATCTGGGTCTAAAGGCAGCGGCGTACCCGACTTGCAAGACGAGGAGGTTGCTGGGTTCGCTGCTGCAGCTGGTGCTGCTAAAGATGAGAAGGAAACCAAGGCTACCTCTGAAGTTGAGCCTTTAAGATGGCAAGTAACGACTTTTGCACTGAGCTGCATCGATGAGATGTTCTTGATGATTGCAAAGGATGTGACTACCAATGGAGAATCCAAAGCCCAGAGCGATCTTCAAGGCAAAGTTGCAGATGTTGTTCGCATGGCGTTCTCGGCGTCAACCTCTGGTGTCCTGGAACTCCGTATCTGGGGCCTGAAAATCATAGGAGACATACTCAAGATGTTTGGCAAGACACCCGATCCAGACTTTGAAGAGGCGATGTTGCTGGAGCAGTATCAGGCTCAGATCAGCTCAGCTCTTACCCCAGCATTCGCAGCCGACTCATCGCCTGAACTTGCTTCAGAAGCAGTCAATGTATGTGCTAGTTTCATCTCAATCGGTATTGTCACCGACGTGGATCGCATGGGTAGGATTCTCAAGACTCTTGTAAGCGCTCTAGAGAATTTCTCCAAAGATAGTGAGAATGCTGCGATTGGTGACCTGAAAAGTCTGAGTTCCAATGCGCAGGTCATGGTAAAGATATCGGTGTTCTCTGCTTGGGCGGAGCTCCAGGTTGCAAGCTCGGGGCAGAAATATCTTCTGGATGTGCTTAGGCCTCACATCGGCACATTGACGCCCCTTTGGTTGGAGTCACTTCGTGAGTTCGCACGGCTTCGATTCGAGCCTGACATTTCTATGACCTTGGGGCCCCCTTCACTCTCTGGGAGTCTCGACACCATCTATGCAGCCCTGAACCGCGAGACATTGCTGCGGTTCTACCAGGATGCCTGGTTGAAGTTGGTAGATGCGATTGCCAGCTTGATCGAACAGGATAGTGAATTTGTGTTTGACGCCCTCGATGGAAAGGAATCGGATGGTCCCTCAGCGAGCGGCCAGAGCAAGAATTCCGACATCAATTACAGAGACGAACCTGTGGCATTCTTCTTTGTTCTGTTCGGTCTGGCCTTTGAGGCGCTTGCCACGCGTTCTGGGCAAAGCGATTCTCTGGCTACGCACGAACAGACGCTAGCCATCCTCCAAGCCCTCAAGAAGATCCTCCACCCGAGTGTGTCCGGCCATGCTATCTACAGGCCGGATGTGTTTTCCGAGACCATGGACTTACTGGATCGTCTAGTGCTCACCGAGAGCCTCGACGTTCAAGGTGTGATCGTGGAGATCGCGAGCGTTCTGTGCATTGCGCACCCTTCTGCAAGGAGACACGCCACTGAAGAGGGTGACCTGTCTGATGATATCGACCAACTCTTTGAGCTGACGCGAATCATCGTTCTCGTTCTTACAGGACTTCTTCCTAACCTTTCCGAGGGAAACCAACCAGCCAGACACCAGATGAACGAAGAAGCCATTCTTCTCATACGGTCATCTCTCAACGCGCTCGTGGACGCCGCAGAGGTCTTTCCAGCTATCATCAAAACCGATCTGCATGCGTGCATCATACACATCTTTGCCACAATTTTATCAACGCCTGGTTGCCAGGAGCTCATCGTTCCACAGTCCCTGTCCACACTGAAGCGTTTCGTCGGTAGCATGTCCAAGTCAAGAAGGAACCACAGCAATGGCGAGCCATCTTCCACAGATGTTCAGTTGCAGGGGTGCCTACGCCGATTCCTGTCGATATACCTCAACGCACAGAAGCGTGAGGCTCCTCAATCCCTTACTTGTGTCAAGAACTGTCTGTTGGCTACGACAATCCTCTTTACCGGAGGCCAGAATCACCTTCCAGCTTCTGAAGCTCTTGTGGCCCGTTATCTTGAGGAGTTGATGGACTGTCTCACTGATCGAATGGTACGCATTATCCAGCTCACTTTCACCATCCCCCCACTCTAGGGACATCAGCTAACAATAGCCTACTTTAGACTGCCAAGATCGCGGCCAACTGCATTAAGTCGCTGCTGCTCCAGCCATCCCAGACCAGTGCTGATCTCAGCATTGCTCGTTACCTGTTTCCCCGACTCGTAGCCTTTGTGACCGATACGGACCCTGAGGATCCCGAGAATGCTCGATCCTTAATCGCACACACTCTTTGCCAATACGTGGGCACGGGCGTCAGGGGTCGACATTTGGCGGCTATGGCAGTGGTGATCCCAACATTGATGGCCCGAGCAACAGCTGAGGGTGAGGAGGTATACCAAGAGACTAGCGCACGATTACTCGAGCTTGCCGCGATCGATCAGGAGACGTTTAGAGCAGTAGTAGGCGGCATAAGCGATGGCCAAAAGGGGTTCCTCGAAGAGGTGATTCGCTTCGGCCGGCAAACCACTGACCAAGTGAGCAAGGCTGCAACAGCAGAGTCCGGGCAGCCAAGTATTGCGTTGAAGATGGACTTCGGAGGTTGATCTGACGTATATTTCACCAGGTGCCTATCCGGATGGGTGGGCGATGCGGTTGAGCCATTATGCGCAAAGTTCAATCCCTAAAGCTAAGCTGCATTCCTTCTTAGCAAGCTTAAACTTATGTCCGTCCCTGAGTCGGGCATACATGCCTATTACAAAAACGAAAAAGAAAAAACAAGAGGGGGAAAAATGACAAAGAAACGCACAAGACCACTAGCCATCTCTGTTGAGGCCTTTAGGGGCATGTGTCAGGGAAGCAGAAGCACCGCTTGCCATGGTAGACATGCTGACAGGGGGACGACAACGGGCGATGAACGGCAGCACGTACCAGACAGAGAGCGAACTCCAGCCAAAGCCCAAGGTAGAATGATTCGACGAGATACGATTCAGCTGGCCCAACGGCCGGCGTGTCCCCGGTGGAAAGACTGCGGAGTCATTTGTCATGTTACACAAGGATCGCTGCAGCATATCCACACAATGTTCTGGGTCAAGTATGTAGTGCAATGCATTGCATAGGCATAGCTTATACAGCATGCTCGGGCTGCCGGCAATATGCCGTGCTATCAATATCGAGTGCATACGATAGCAATATGCAAGTCTGAAAGTCGCATAACTACCAATCAACAAGATCCATTCTGTATAACACGGGGACGGGAAGGGAGAATGATAGAATGGGGTTATGACGGGGCTTTCTATACATGCAATGGGATAGATATGGTTAATGGTTACATATATAATTATGGCGTCATGGCACGCCAAGATACAGACACGAACGAAGCACCTGTGGCCTCCTCGATCATGTGGTGTGCAACAACAGCTCTGTTGTTTTACCCAGCCTTCACCTCTAAGACATAGGTAGTGTAGTGTCACTGTACTCCCTGACTCTGTAGTACTGTAGGCCGATAGCCCTACGTATTTTCGGCTCGAGGTTCTAATTTTTAGCTTTCAAGCTAACATCGACTAGAGTTGGTCTAGGGGGAAATAACACCGCGAATATTCAGGGGCTGTACGCACCAACTTCTGGAACATCAGCTAGCATGGTCAGGAATAACATAGCCGTGTCAGACTAGGCCCATACAACGACTAGGCAATGTTATCATTACTGATTGAGCGCAACGAGACAGGAAACCCCATCATGAACACTCCACGGAAGAGAAGCACAGGTAGCCATGCATCCAACCGTTGAGGCGAGCACCAAACAAGGGCTGGCTGGCTGGTTTGTTCTACGTTTACGTTTCTCTTTTGATCCGTTTGGTGGGAAACTCCGTATCAAAAGAGACAAGAGTGTCGTCGGTGGGCCTCCGCAGAATCTTGTTGGTCTGTGTCACCATGGCATGGTGGGTAGTAGTATATTGTAGGTGTCAAGATATCAGAGATGGTTTACTTTCTTTTTCTGACTTCTCCACGCAATCTGGGCCAGCTCCAGCACCTAGGCTAGTAGGCTAGACATTATCTGATCCTCGAGGATGCACGGCCTTTGCAAGGATCAATGATTTGGGCTGTGACATTTCCTGTAGTAGGCCCAAGTGGCAAAGATTTTGACTGACATGCAGCTCTTTGACCTTGCGTCAGACTTTAGTGCGTGCTAGTCACGCAGTAGAACATGCCCATGTGGTCTTAAGTTGAGCTAGGACAAGTAACGGGGATGATGATTCACCTGTTGCTACTTTGTCGGAGTGGTCACAAATACCAGCTCTGGCATGTCCGTCACTTGTTGTTAAGCAGTTTCTGGCTTTGGTTAATAGACATCTGCTGAAGGTCTGCATCGCTTGTTTTCGTTCTATCCAGGGGCAGTATCTTAACATCAAAGCTTGTCATGGTGATAGGAGGTTCCATCAACGACGACCGGCTTTTCATCCTTGACGCTGGTCTCCTTTTCGGGGGACGCCTTTTTCGATGGCAACTTCTTGTCCACTTGCGACCCCGAAGATTTCTTGCTTGAAGACGACTTCTTTTCCGTTGCCTTCTTTTTATCAGATCTCGTTGGCTTGGTCCCCTTGTTCTTTGATCTTTGGGACTTCTCGTTCCGTTTTCGGCCATCATCTCTCATGCGGGATGGAACAGTTGGTACATTCACCTCGCTCTTCTCAGAGTCGGCCCAGTTTAACGATTCATGCCAAACGATGGGCTCCCCAAGCTCTTCCACCTCTGCATCCTCCCGAGTGGGTCGCGCTATCATTCTTCTGCCTTGGAAACGTGCTTTGTTGAACTGCTCCGTCGCAATCTTCGCGGCCGCGACGTTTTCAAAAACGACAAAGATGTAGCCCCTGAGGTAATTGCTGTCACTGTTCTTGGGTATCTCGATAGATTCGATCTTGTCATTATCCACTTTGCGCTGGACCCAAGATTTGACTTCATCGGCTTCCGCTTGTTGCGGGAATGGCGACACACATAGCTTGCGTGTTTCCGGTACCACGTACTCCGACCTATAGGATGGCTCGCCACTGGGGAAGCTACAATTCGGGTAGTACCCTGGATTCTCACTCATACCGCGATAAGGAAGAGCAAGCTGGCTTCCTTCATGTTGGTATTGTGGAGAGTACGAGACTGCGCCTGATTTTGGGGCAAATAGCCGAGTAACGGTGTCATTGTATGTGTAGTAGCTCCCCGGGCTGGCAGCCGCATAAGTTGCTGGAGTGTTTGTGGTTACTGTGACTGGTAGCTGATGGGAGTAGCTTGGGTTCAAGAAAGACTGAGTGGTGAATCGGGAGCTGTTGACCGGAGGGTAACTAGCTATATAGTACTAGAGTCAAAGAGTCATTACTGGGATCTTTCCAAAGCTTGTGCCTTCAGACAGGCCAGCTTACCTGTCCAGGTGCAGCAGAATACTGCGGAGACATAGCCATCTGAGTTGGCAGGACATAGGGGTTCGGAGGTGTGGCTTGGTACTGCAGTGTCTGTGAAATGACGGCTTGCGGTGGTGTAGCAAGCTCCCTGATCTTGATAGAATGCTTACAGTTTCTGTCAGACGCAATGATCGAGCGACCCTTGAAGACGCCGCCGTTGAGAAGAGCTACTACCATGTTAGCTCGGCCAGATAGTCGTCGTGCGAGATGTATGCCTACCCCATGCCCTTTCAAAGTTCTCTCTTCCCCGGACTCGGACCCAGCCTGAGGTACTGCTCTGGAAGACCTCGATATGGTCCACTAGGCATGCTGTACGTGTCCAATCTTTCAACTCCTGCCACGAAGTTGCGAATGGTAACTGAAAGGGTAGTTAGCTTTGTTACCGTAGCACAGGTCATGATGGGTGTGAGAGACCGTACGTTGCAAATGGTAATGTAGTAGATGCCAGTCTCATCGCCGGGACCAACGTCCGCTTGGACTGTAGCTTCGGAAGGCATAGGATGAAGGAATCTGCACGAAGCCGACAAGTTTCCAGTTCCGAATGAGGTCTTGTGCGATGCTACAATGGTTTGGAAAGAAAGTCAAAAGCTGTGTGACAATGATACGAGAAGCAACGGGGGGTGCGTGCTAGAAAAGTGACAGCTGGAGGCTTGGCCAACTGTACTATCTCATCACTGAGTTGCGCTGCTCTCCAGGGCTCTGAATGAAGGCTCTTGGAAGCTTCGAATCGGGCTCGGGTCATATTGTGAATCAGTGACAAGCAAAGGCCGTATGTATGCTTTATATCTAGCTTCACGCGACAACTAGCATGGGAGCGGCAAGATAGAATCAGAAGAGACAACAACCCGTCTAGTATCTTCCAAACGTTGCTTTTGAATCGTCCTTTACCAGCTCTGGATTCGCTTGCATTCGATCCCAGCACTCGGGCCATAATTTGGGCGCCCCGGGGTCTGGAAATGACACCGGAATATGGGCGGTTTGCAGAGGCGCATATCGTCTCAGCATTGAGAGAACGCCGAGAAACGTTGAGACTAACAAGTCTGGATCTGGCAAGCTCGCCTCCTCCTGGATGATTAACGGTGCAGTGTAACCCGAGATCCCTGTCAGCGTTTCGACATGCATCCTGACTCTCAGCCTCGAGATGTGGGGTTCCAGCTAGGGGCAGATCGTCCGGAACTGTAGGGTTCAGTGTCATTGCGGAACTAAGGATGTTCATTTCGCGCTTAGACGCTAGAGTAGAAATCTTTAAAGGGTGCAGATTCTCCTAGACGTTGTCCCTCGACTCAGCTATATGCCCAGGTGCTGTAGATCGATCCAAGCCACCGGCCGTAAATGTCTAGGCATGTCTCTCCCTGGTCGACATGCAGAGGACCAGGTTGAGTCCCGCATGAGATAATGACATATCATATTGCGATCACAGCTCCACCATCTGACGAAATCTTAGTTGTCTAGGTGTTGAGTAGTGATAGATCCATCGACAATCAAGGCGATGATCGAATGCCCGGCGCAAGGTACCAACAGTTTTCCCTCTTGATCTCACGGTGAGAGGAGCAGTGGCAGCCCATAACTTGAGGTCTCTTTTCGCAGCCATGGGTGCATGTCGCTTCCGTGGCCCCAACAAAACGTGGATTCGATTCGTTGCTTATTGGAGGTGCAATTTGCAAGCTATCGCTGCCATGAGAGAAGAGGAAACTACACACCTTTTATGACAGCCGCATTATGCAGTCATGCCCTTGACATCAAATAGAAACGCCATTTGTGTAACATGATCCTAGCCACTGGAATGACTCAAATGCGGGATATTCTCTCCAACAGAGTCCAGCCTCGTCCCTCCCTCCCTTTTTAACCTTACACGTGCCAAGCCGTAACCATTTCCTAAAGGGGGTGGATCAGTTTGTGCCATACAGATGTGGCCTTGGCGACGCTCCTTCTACACGTGCTTGAAAGAGAAGGTATCGTCCAAAGTGGATGTGTCGTCCGGCATCAGAGAAGATATGTCAACGGTGTCTCCAAGATCATGTACCGATCCTATGGTTCTATCGCCAACTACCCCCTCACGCCATAGAGTCGGGCATTGTGCCCCATCTGAGCACGATACTAGGACTCCGTTTTGCGCGTCTGAGATCATCACAACCGGGAACTCGGGGTCGCTGTTCA